TGGCTAGGTTCAGGTTCAGGATATGTCCCAAACCTGAACCAAACCAGGTTTTCCCAGTTTGTGCCCATCCCAAAATGGAAATTCTCTCTTCATGACAGCAAAAAGAGAACCAAGGGAGTAGCATCCCTCCTCCTGGTCAGAGGAAGGAGGGGTCCTCCTAGCCTACTAGAATGCTTTGGAAATCTTTTCTGCAGCTGGCCTGAGTACACACACAGATGCCACAATGATGAAGACTGCTTGCCTGTTCAGATTTAAGCAGGAGATAGATACAGTAGTAGACTGTGCCTGAACCCCAATGATAGCTGGTGGATACTAGCCCAAATACATCCCATAGATAAAAGGCAACAAGAATTCCCTACTGGAACTCTGAAGATGATATCACAAGAAATCCAGAACATTTTGGTATCCAGTTCCATATTCCCAAGTAAGACAGGTTCTGAAGTAGACCAGATATTACCTCAACTTAAAAAAACAAAAAACAGAAATAGCCATTGCACAGAGGCCAATTCAGAACATGGTCAAATGGGGCAAGAGTGGGTTTAAACTCTTTTACCCGCACAAGTTTTTGCCAACGGAAACCAATGTATCAGTCTTCACTCTGTAATGTTGTTACTTGGAAGGGGGGAAAATGGGTGCCCATCTTTTTCTCTCCAGGGTCCCATGAAGCTATTATTTCTATTTAAAAACTGCTGGAAAGAGCTGATCCTGGATTTTATGATGCCTCCTGTAATTATGACCTAATTCTCTCTCACATAAGAAATGTACTAAACCTGTAGTCTTCAAGACTCTGAATCTCGCCATCTCTTACCAAAAAAAGTTACGACATCATAATGAATTTTAGACTTAAACTGGAAGTTATACAAAAAATCATGTTCTATAAATTTGAAGTAGTCTGTTTGCAATATGTTAATATTGTACATACTATGTACATCATAAATGACCAATGCCATTATAGCAAAGTACTCACTAAGGACTAATCCATTCCCAAAGAGCAAAAACATACATAAGCGTATTTTTAAAAACTTACTATATTGGGAAGTTTGTCAAGAGCTTCATTTATTTGCTGACTATGCACAAGCCCAATGTGAGATTTCCCCATCAATCGGCGTACCTTCTTCCTAATATCATTTTTGTTCACCTAAACAGCAATAAAAGGTACTTTGTTACTGATCCCTCCCTGGTTATAGACATAACCCTTGCACATAATGATCTATATCGGAACATAGGTCTAGGAACTGATATTGGCCACCAACTGTGTCCTAGAGAATGTTAGCTACTGTGTAAAATGTTTCTGGTCGAGTAAGCCAGTTGGAGACCAAAGCAATGAACAGAACAAATGGATATTTTTCTTCTTAGACACCACACTGTTTCCAAGGTTGATATCACTGGCATTAAAAGCAATTCATATAGTTAGCAGAAAGTCCTATGGAAAGGGGCTAATAAGGAATTGTGTGCTAGCTGTTATATAAATCAAGTCATTGTGAAGAAGGAAGAGCTAAAATATACCCAAATAAAAAAAATAGCCATGTTAATGATATTTCATTGCTTGGACTACCAGCAGGGGTCATTTCGTAGAAAAAGAGCTAGGGGAACTCATTAGCATAACTCATTAGCATATGCCACACACCCTGACATCAGGGGCCCGGCGGTGGACCTGCAAGGCCAGCGGGAGTGCGAGGAAGCCCCGCCAAGGCCCTCCCTGGCCCCAGGCAGTCAGGGGTGGGGAGAGGTGGGGAGGAAGCAACTTACCCTCCCTCTTCTCCTGCCTCCTCCTGGCTGCATGAGGGCTGGAAGCGGGGTGGCTGGAAGCAGGGGGCGGGGCTTCGTCATGTGCCCCGCCCCCCTGCACCTCACCCGGGGGAACTGTGTTCCCCCGCGTTTCCCCCCCCCAAATGACCTCTGACTACCAGTATCTGTGGGATTGATAACTAGTAACCCAAGACCTTTTAACTATCTCCTTTCCTCCCCTAAACATAAGCTGAAACAGTTCAAAGAGGGGAAGAGGTGAAAACAGGAGTGAGCAGGACTGTACCATCATAGAGGCTTTTTAGGCACTTGCCTTGAGCGCCACCTAGAAGAGGGCGCAGCTCTGGCCTGCCTACCGCCCCGCCCCTTGCCTCGCCGCCCTGCCAGGAGGCTGCTGTGATCAGCCCTGTGCTGTGCTCCTGCCTCCTCATCTGTCAGAGGGCACCGCACTGGCCTGCCTGCCACCCCCCCTCCCTTCCCCTCCCCGCCTCGCTCGCCCGCCAGTCGCCAAAGCCCTGCTCGCTGCTCCACTCGCCCTGCTCCTCAGAGGATACCATGCTGGCCTGCCTGCCTGCCACCCAAAAGCCCTGCTGCTCAGCTCGCTGGGGCTGCTCCACTCGCCCTTTGCTCCTCGGAGGGCGCCAGAACGCTTCTGCAGTTCTCCCCCTCTGCCACCTTCCTTCCATTGCAGCAGAGGGCTCCACCAGCTTCCCTCCTCTTGGCTCTTCTTCCTTCTCCAGCTGTCCTTTTCTTTTTGACCCCCCTTCCCCTCCCCTTTCGCCCACCCCCCCCCCCCGCACTGATCTTCTCCAACGCACCTTGCGTTCTTTGTGTGAACTTGGGCAGATCACGAGAAGGGAGGGCAGGAAGGGTTGCCTCAATGCTTAGTTCTCATGGGCCCTTTCTTACATGCTGTACGTAGGGCAGGGCGATAGGATTGCAAACTTGGAGAGGGGGGATAATGTTCGGGGGGGATTTTGTGGGGAAGAGTTGGTTCGAGGACTTAAAAAAAAACCCTCTCCCCTTACTGATTTCTCCCTTCCCCCTTCTCCCTCTCCTTTCCCGCCCGCTCGAAGCCAAAAGGCGCCTTTTCCCAAAGCCAACAGGGCAGGTAAGGGTTAAAAAAAGGCATTGCAGGTGGGGGGAAACAGCCCCTGGATTCAGGCAGGAGGGGCAGGAGGAAGCAACTGTGCAGTCCCTCTCCCTTCCTTTCTCACCCAGCCCTGGCAACTTACTGGGGGGGGGGAGACCCAGAGAGTGCAGCTGCCCCGCTCCGCCTGGTGCCATTCAGTCCCCATGCCTCATCCCCTTTGGCAGCCACACACTGCTCCTCAGCTCCGAAGTTGGCCAGGTAGGGAGGGGAAGAGGGGAAGTGGGTGCCCAGGACAGAGGTGTGCCCAACAGGATGCCAGGACGCCAGCAGCTGGGGAGGGAACCGTTCCACATGAGAGAAGTGATTAGATGTAAATATCTCAAGACAAGGAAGCTAGAATGAACCCCAGGGTTTTTAGACAGCTCCTGCCGAGCCTTCATGGGGTTTCCAAGACAAGAGGCAAACTAACCAGGGCCGGCCTTGCTTAGCTACCGAGTCCAAGATCTGACGAGACAGGGCTACCCTGGGCTACCCAGAGCTTTACATGCCCCAAAACGTACAGCTGGGTGCAAAGCCCAAACCCCAGGCAATTCACATAGGCTTTGCCAGATGTTTTCCACAAGGGCATCGTCCCAAACCAACACAAAAGTGCCCCCCCCCCCCGAGGCCCAAATTTGGAAGCAAAGGAAGTGGTGCTGGGGCAAATGTAGGCAAAGCATCCCCCCTGCCTAATCCTGATATTGCAAAGTAAAATGCTACCCTGGGAGAGAAAGCTACAGCCAGAAGCGCCTGACTGGCGCAGAAGCTCTCCCTGACAGGAGGAGGAGAGGGAGGTCCCCTCCTTTGGCTGGGAGAAAACTCTGCTACTTGCACTTGTCTAACTTGCTCAGGATCTTTGTGCAGGTGCTTTTCTTGGACTACTCTGGTAGGTGGTAAATAACTCTCAGGGTGAGGGGAAGAGCTGCAAATTATTATTTCATTTGCAGAAAACAATCAAGTTTCTCCACCACTGGAAACCCTGCCTGGTTTTAACTCTGATTTGTTTTTCAAAGGATGCCTGATTTTTCAGGGATGAGATGCTTCAGAAAGGGGAAAAAATGCTTTGTGATTTGTGTTTTTCTGTTTGAGAGAGAAAATCAGAGATAGTATTATTTATTCTCACAATTAAAAAAAAAAAGAAATTAGCAATTTCAAATTTTGTGTTTTTCATTCTTTCTAAAATGCATTTATGTTTGGAAATTGGTGGACGCCAGAATGTAGCCTCGCCTAGTGTGCAAAAAAACCTGGCACCGGCCCTGGGAGTGAGTAGAGAAGCAGCCTAATTGTTGCTGTACTCATTCCACTTTAGTGTGCCTTTCCCAACAAGAAATGGGGAAGGAAAGGCACCTAGACTTGGTCATGTGAATAGAGAAGTGTTCCTGTTTTTCCTGGGGTGCTGCTGTCTGTTTCTCCTTCCTTCACTTCACAGCAAAGGGAGTGGCCAAAGCTTATGAACTCGAAAAAGATCCCTTCTCTGGCTCATGCACTGCATTTCCTTCCCCCACAGATGCCCACCCCAGTTCCAAGCAGCAGGAACAGAAAAGACCCCTGGATTTTCTGGTAAATTTTTTGGAGAGGAGAAGTTTGGCCCATCATACTTTACTTCATAGGGCTCATTGATTTAACTAATAGATGTGCAGCATAAATGTTACTCTGAAAAAAAGATTCCTCATGAACACATACTATGTCACCTTATGGCAACAGCTATCAAGCGCTGCACAAAAAAGTCCAAAATGAATCCAAATTATGAAAAAGTAGCACCTTCATCATAAGCATGTAGATGATCATATTGTGTAACAGTGTCGACAGCAAGCGATCTTCGTCATCTTCTAAACGTTTGCGGTCATGTTCCCCAAGAGAAAGATACCTATGGGAAGAAACAAGCATGAAGTGACATTAAAGATGAGCTCTCATCCAACTCACTACAAAGAAAGGGGACAAAAATGCTTTCAGAAGGAAAATGAAGTCAACTAATAATCCCAAATGTGAAGGAATAAATCCCCACTCTGCCATGGAAGCTTACTGGGTGACCTTTGGCTACTCACCCACTCTCAGCCTAACCTACTTCACAGGGTTGTGGTGAGGATAAAATGGAGGAAAGGAAAATGATGTAAGCCCCTTTGGGGAGAACAACAGGGTATAAATGAAGTAAATAAATAAATAAAGGAATAATTTCAGTCAAACTTTTCCAGGTAGCAGATACAAGGATGATCATTCATTTTTGCAGCTGGCCTTGTTGGGAAGTTTGCTCATCCTCTCTTTGAATATAATTACATAGATATCCACATTTCTCTGAATGCTATCAGGTATCTGCAGTGCAATGATAGGAACCTACCCAGTAACAAGAACTTCACATTATATTCTGAAGTTTCAATTTTTTCTGTCTCCTTAACAATTATTACTGATGATCTTCGTGTTCTTTCTTTAACTACAGACTTCCCTTTTGCCTTCTGACAGACACTATGAGTAGCTAAGGACAGGACAAAAGACCCATCATGGCAAAAATAAGAGAAAGTCCAGAAACCAGAATTTGAAGCATTGAATCAGGTTCTTTATTGTTCTTACACACAGCTGTATGGGTTTAACTCCTAACATAGAAGAACAACCTACCCCCTGCATACAAGCCTTTTATCTATTTCGTACCATGAAATAACTAAAGTAAAAGCTGACTGGATTTTAAAATTACTAGGACTACTAAACTGTCAGTCATATTATGTTTGAAGCCCATTATTCAAGCCTGAAAATATATCCAAGAATTAGTTAAAATAGGCCAAGACCAGCTCACATATCAGAACCTAATTCCTTCCCTCCTCCCTGCAGACGTGACAGTCACACTTAGCAGACATGGAGTCTGAGGAACAAAGTGGCTTCCAGAATTTCCCCACTTTGGCCCTATTAGGGCCACACTCATATTTCCATTCTCATGTACTGCTGTACTTCTTGCTGAATCTCTTCCCATCTTTCTCTTTTGATTTCAATATAATTAACAAACCCTGACCTGGATAACCCAAGCTACACCAACCTTATCAGATCTTGGAAGCTATGCAGGGTCAGCCCTGGTTAATACCTGAATGGGATATCACCAAGGAAATCTAAGATTGCTACGCAGGGGTAGGCAATGGCAGACCACCTCTGAACATCTCTTGCCCTGAAAACCCTATGGGGTTACCATACGTTGGCTGTGACTTGACAGCAAAAAAAAAGTCAACAAATATGGTGTTGCAATTTCCGCCCTGCTGTATTTTCTTCTCGTCTCTTATTTCTAACTTCCCCTGACCCTGACCCAGTAGAAGACACTACTTTGCCTATGCAAAGCCAAGAATATTAAGTTTCCTAAGCCCCACCTTAAAAGGAAAGGGCCAGCAGATTGTACCACTTGAGGAAATCTCTGCAGATCAAGAATAAAGAGAGTTAAATAGAGCTACACGTAGAAGCATGTTGCTCAGCAAAAAAAATACCTTGGATCCCCAAAAACTAGTTCAGTCAAAGATGAAATAGTGCAGAAAGGGTTAATTGTGAAAAAAAATAATGTAATTTACCTATCAATCATTTCCTGAGGTCCCTGGTCCATCCCCATTCCTTCTCTCTCCAACATCACAGCATCCAGAAAAGCATCTTCCCAAAACTGCATCTGATCCCAGAGAGTTGAGCGTTCTTTACCTGGGTAGTATCAAATATATTAATCTAGTGGTCCCATATTTCTGTGACACAGAACTAATTAATCTCTCCCCCCCCCAATCTATGTAGATGCCCCAAGAAATCACGTAAGTCATGGAAATAAACCCCCAGCAAAACCACACTTCTAGTTGCATCTCACAAGCTACAGCTAGCTCTGCTAAAGCTGAACACCAACTTTCTTTCATTCTGTAAGCTCTGATAATATTCTCCAAACAAAGGTAGTGATAACACAGGAACAAGAAGAGGCTGTTGTGAACAGAAACACATGCAAGAAGTTGCAGATTTTTATAAACACACAGAGAAGCAGAGAGAAGAAAATATTACTCAGAGAGAAGGTTTCCATGGCAGCATCCTCTAACTGGTCCCAGACAGATCCTTTATCCCTCCCTTTACAGTTCCAAGCAAGCAGCAACATGGCAGCAAAGAGGAAAAACAAAAAATACAAGAAGAAAAAAGGACTGAGCAATTTCTCTAAATTAATGATACTCAGGTAAAAACAAACTGCAGGGAAAATGTCATGTATTCCAAAATCTGATCAAAAGAAGGTCTGCAACTCTCCAAACATGTCAGGATACTTTGCTCTTTAACATATTGGGCAATGGTACCACTTCTCAAGATACCATTTATACTCCTCAAGATATGACAGTATGATTTTGGGGTATGATGAGCATGATGAGCATTTCGTAAGAAGTATCCTCACTTATCTGAAATATTTTACAGTATTTATACAAAACGGCATTACATGTATCTCAGAGATTACACTATGGAGACTTCAGTCCCTTAATCACTATCCATGACTTTTTCTCTCTATCCCAAATAGATCAGAGGAAAGGTGAGAACTAAGCAGTTTAAGGAATTATAATACTTTACAACTTTGAATTTATCTGGACTAAACTTAAAAATGTGATTTTTAGAGATATGAAGAGATTATTAATTGGAACACTTCAATATGCTGTAGTCAAGTGAATCAACAAAGCATCTTGAAAAAAACTATGAACTGTTAACTCAGAATGTTTTTGTAATATGACCTCACACTCAAATGAATGGTCATCACACATGCATAGATGTCATTTATTTGTTTTAATCCACCCTTTTATTACTTCTGTTTCGAAAAATAATATAGCCAAGAATTGAATATCAGTGCCACTGGACTTAAACTTTGTTCTACCTCATATAAGGTATAACATCTAATAAATAACTTTTAGATAAGGTCAAAACTTCTAAAAAGTTCTCACCCAGAAGGCCTTCATAGAGATAAACTCGTTGGCCTGAATCCTCTGGAGCTCTCCCAGGACTGCTGCATTTATTATCTTTTATTGTTTGCTTCGAACTATGAGATTTACCCTTAAAAATAAAAAGAATCAAGTTAGAAAAGTCAGTATAATGTTATCCTGCAAACAAAACAGTAATACTATTTTGCAGACAGATGCCAGTCGGAAAGTGAAAAGAGAGATAAGAAGCAGATCTTCAACCGCTTCTCGATTTCAAAAATGTTCAAAGAAACTTCATTGCCCTGACATGCTGTATGAAATATTTAAGAAACCTTAATCACTCAGGACCAATTCAAATGTTGTACAAAACCAACATAGAGCTAAGTGCCATAAAACACATAGAAGGGATATACATCAACATACACATGGTGTCAAATGCCAAGTAGCTACAATTGCCCGTTTCACCAGGAATGCAGCCCTTCTGTCCCACTTCTACATGACAATGGATTTATTACATAACCCATTCAGTTACACAACTGCTAAGCAAAACCAAGCAAGTTCTTACAAAGATAGAGCTAGTAGCAGAGTTTGTCTCGATCTCACTGTCTGATACAGTGCCTCGTGATCCTGCCAGATTTCCTCCACTCTCCCCACCAAGGCCATCACCAGCATTGCTGCTTAAGTCGCTGTCTGCTCCTAGTGTCTCTCCAGAGCTGTTGCTCACCTGAAGAGAAAAAATGAACAGTTTATGCTGTCTAGCCATTTGCTAAGAGATATTAACCATTACCATGAAGCCTAATATTTATTCACTTTGAAGTTGAATAGATCTCAAATATTCCATGGTTGGGTGGTTGAAAAATCCAAATAAATAAATAAATAAATATTTTACTCTTTCTTAGGCCTGGTCACACATTGAGCAGCCCTGGCCCCCCTTTTCCCTAAAGTGAATAGATACATACACAGATACTGCTTCTTTGAAAAAAATCAAAATTTCTTTTTAAATGTTTTACTTTGCACTGGAGTGTTGGGCACAGAGAGATAAAAAAATATCTAGGGAGAGAATTTGTTTGTTTTGGGGACATAGGGTATTATTTTTATCCACAAAATACTAGTGTTCCCCCTGCACAAAGGAGGGGGGGGGAATCTTGTGAGGTATGTTTGCCCTTTCTGCGCCATTACCCTGGCACAGATTAGATTCAAATTAAAAACAAATCACTTCCCCAGAAGAAATTTGATTTCTATTTATTTATTTTCTTTCTGTACCAGTGGAGAGCAGTAAAATAATTAAACCCCATTCTTCCATGAATGCATTTGCTTATTCATTCTCTCTGCTTGAGCCCAGGACCTATTTTAATTAAATGACTGTCTTCCTCTGGTTGACTTTTCATCATTACCTAGTACAAAGTCTAGAAAAACTAATCCAAAAGAACTGTGAATTCCAAATTTATCAGTGATAATCCAGTAAAAACTTCCAGAAATTCGAACCTCCAAAATCCATTGAAAGTTCGGGGGGGAGGGGTGTCCCACCTGCAGGAGATTGCAGGGCTGCTTGTAACATCTCCAAATGAGATTTTATGAACCAGCCCTCCACATGACCTGTACTAAAAGCCCCCACCATCTGAGTAGTTACAACTGTTGTGGAAAAGATAACTGTGAATGCTTGAACAGTGGGGGCCCTGAGTACAGCATGTCATGGAACATTCATTCAGTCAATTAAAAGCTCTGCACAATCCCTTGTGAGCCATGAGCATACTAACAAACCTACTATAGATGCTCCTATAGATTACTGTATGAGAGCTGCCAAACGTATGAATCCAACCTCTATAAAATTTAAAAAGGATATGTCCAGCCATCACCCTTTAATATTTTGTATGCAGAAATTATGTTTTCAGTCAACAAACTGTGCCATTTTTCTGTTCTACCTATATTGCTCTGCCTATCATCCGTAATCCTCTGTTTTATTAATTCTCTAGCTTTGTCATAGGCAAGGGAACACAGGTATTGTTTTGTGAGGCCAAAATAAGGGAGTTTCTCCTCTATAGCCTTAAGCCGGGGGGTATAAAGGTGTCTTGTAATATTGAACACATCAGCCCCATGGATAGAAAAATTAATTTCAGCCAATAATGAATCACCATGATCCATAACCTTGCCTCTACATTAATCATTCCGATTCAATTCGAATAAGTGCATTTGGAATGCCATTAGGTACTTGTAGAAAAGATCTCAAAATTTTTGATTGGACTATGTCCAGTTTCTTGTAGTTAGATGTAATATTGACGGGGGCTCCAAAGGTAAATTGACTGAGAGATTTGGCCTTAAATAGTCTAAGGGCTGCTACAAGACATTTGCCCCATTTGTGCCAGTAAAATGTTTGAATTGCCCCCACACTCCTTTTGCCATTTATGGCAGCAGAATTTAGATTTACAGTTCTTCAACCATTTGCCTGGAAAACACCCAGATATTTAAAACAGGTGACTTGTTCAATGGGAACAGAATTTAAGTGCCAATGAAAAGTTTTGGGGGATCTTTTAGAAAAGGCCATTACTTTAGTTTTTGAATAGAGCACCCCTATGTATCTTTTGCCTACCTTTGGGGAATGGAACACGGGCCTGTTTAAATAGGCTACCACGTCACTGATGTAAAAATGTTGCCAAAAGACATCCTTGTTTAACTCTTTCTCAACTCTAATAGGATTTGTCAGGTGACCCTTGTAAGAGTACCCAACCCTTATAAATGCGTTGTCGTGAAGGGCCTGAATAAGAAATAGTAACCTTCTGTCAATACTTGAAGCTCTTAATTAGTCCCACAGAATAATTCTAGAGACTGAGTCCAAAGCCAACTTTAGGTCCAAAAATGTAGCGAAAAGAGACACATTTGAGTTGGAGGAATATTTGGAAACCAGGTGGTCCAATATCATACATTGATCTAAGGTAGCACGCCCCTCTCTAAAGCCAGCCTGCTTATCTGCCAGACAAGAGTCGTTTTCCAACCATTCCCTGAATTTCCATAGGAGGTTCCTCGCGTACAGTTTACTCACTATGTTTAGCAGACTAATTGGCCTGTAATTATTTGGATCTTCTTTGTTACCTTTTTAATAAAATGGGCTAATAACTGTTGCTTTCCAAACCGTTTAAGCCACTGTACTTCATCTTAAATAGGCATAGTCCTACTTATATGTATGCGTCAAAATGAAGAACTATGGTATTTCCATTTGAAATGTTCGAAGATATAAATGTTTAAAAACAAAACACACAACACAAAGGAAGTCAGGGTTCTTATATGTAAATTAAAAGTCCTTGAACAAATTGACAACTTGAAGCTTTCTCCCTAATCTAAATGGTTACAGTGTCACAATATAAACATAAAGGATACTGATAAGCACACATTCTGAAACTGTAGAGAGACATATGGTATGCTAGACAAGACCACGTACAGCTCCCGGACACACTTTAAACTGGGAGGGGGGGGGGACACAGCATATGCCAAATACACACTGAGCAACATCAGCATACACGACTAGAAAACGGTGCATGCACACAGACAGGCTTGGAAAGAGCTGCTCAGATCAAGCCCCAGCATTGCACTCTGGCCATGCCCTACCACTGTGCTAACTTCAGAATCTTGGCTGGTGCTTCGGATCATAACAGCAGGTCCCACGCTGGCCACAGAGTCCAGATCACTCTTCTGAAGCCACAAATAGATGGGAAGAAATATAATTCACATTAGGTATTCCCCATTTCAGTTTGGACACATGGTAAAGGCAATTCATTTGAAGCTAGTCTACTCAGAAATTATTTCTAACTACCCAGAGTCAGCAATAAGACACTCACAGATTTGAGACTGTCACAGGAATCTCAAAGCTTCTTCCAACTTGAATTTCTCACAAAAGACTACTTTTTGCAGTCACAAGGGATTCTTACAAGCTCTTACCTCACCTTCAAATCAGCAACTATGAGAACTTCATTCAATAATAAATAAAAGGGCACTCACCTGAGAAGTGGAGGTTAGACTCACACCACTGTCTGCACTGATTTGTGACTTCTTCTCCTCGGTCTCTCCAAGATCAAAAAAATGTTTTGTACCTTCTGACCCTAAGTAGAGGAAAAAAGATATCTCGTTAACATGATAAGGGAGAGTCTGAAGACTGAGGATCACACAGTAAGCAGGGCCAAGAGGAGAAACCAGAGCACTTTTCTACTTTCTCAGTACCATGTAGCAATTTTAACTTAGCTGGTCAAGGCCCTTCTTATATAAAGTGAGAAGCAGACAAACCTCCTTAAACAATTCAGGCATTTGGGGGAGGGGAAGAGAGGAGACAAAAACAGGTGTCAGACAGATTCTCATTGATACATGCCAAACAGTTACTACATGACTCTGGAAAGCCACTTCCTTTGCTCTTGGAAACAGTTTTGGTGTGGGTTTTTTTTTTTTTTGGTGTGGGGGTATTAACACATTGCTTGATCTCTTGGTAGCACATAGCAGATTGGCCAACCAACCAGTCAAGAACATTAATGTGTAGTGGAAATTAAGAGCTTCAGGCTGGATACTTAGAGGAGGATACAACAGCATTACATTGTCACAATAAAGATGCAACAAATGGCACTCCAGAGTTTGCAACAACATATGTGAAACAGAGAGTTTAGGTTTCAGCTGGTGTGAAGGCATGCATCCAATAGCCCACTCTATTCATAAATAAAATATTTTTTAAAATGCTGAAGACTTTTATACTACATTCATGCAGCCCCATATTCTTAATCTTCCCCAATGAGATGACAGAAAGAAAATGGGTGAGAAGAGAGACAGAATCTGGAAGGGTTCAGAAAGCACTGTGCAACAGGAGTAAGGGGGCAGGAAAAGAAAACACTACAGACTGTACATAGGTCACCATTAAGAGCTTGGAAAGAAGAAGAGACTGAACACAACGCTTCTGCCATAGCCATATCTGCCAACTGTTCCACAACAGGGACACATGACCAACAGCTGGAGGATTTTTTTAAAGTTCTAGATCTAGGATGTGTACAAGCTATGTTATCCTGCAATTCTATGCACTTAGTATAGCAATACCTTACATACCATTAAATATGGTAAACTAGGAATTGGGAGGTATGAGTGTAACTGTGTGTGGCAGTGGTATCACTAGATAGCACCAGCACCAGAAAAAGAGAGAAAAAGTGGAAGCAAAAGAGGAAAAAAGGGAAAAGTAATATATATGATGCACATGAATAAACAACTACTGGTGTGCATTTTGGGATGACCAGATTAGATTACTCATGAATGGTGAAGCCATTAAGAAAAATGTTCAGCTCATCCCAATGGTACTATATACCTGCACATACATATTTTAAAGAGAGAATGTGTTAAAAGATTATTTTAATAAATCGATAGTGGTTTTAGAACATTAACTTCACTATTTTAACAATATCTCCAACATATTAGCATAGCATGTAGATACCTCCTCATAATGATGCTAGGAGTGCTTTTTTGAAAGTAAGCAAAGAAATTAAATTTTAAAATCCACAAGGTTTTAAAAAATTCCTTTAATGAGTCAAAAACAGTGACTACACTAACTGGAATAATCTATAGATCAATGTCCTAATCACAGATTTAAAATGTACAGTTCTATATGATTGACTGTGATTCAGCTTAGCACTGTGAATGGGACATTCACTGCTCATGGCACTGCTGCAAACCAAACTGTAGGCACAGGGAAGGCAAGCAGTCAATTTCTTCAAGATGTTTGCACATATAATCAACTAAAAATATACTTTCATTAAATATCATTCAAAATATCAGCTGGGTCAATCAGTAAATTGATCACACACAAAAAAACCTCCAACAACAAGTACGTGGCCAGTCTAAGCCAAAAGTCCATGTTCATACATGAAACAAAACCTAGCTTCAAAATGAAAATAACCTAACAATTCACAAAGGATACCAGACTTGAATTACTGTATCTGAAGACATAATTATTCAGCTATGTAATTAAGTTACACTGGAATCTATGGGAGCATACTGAGTTTCTGTGCATTCACTGGTTGAATTTTATTGCAGAATGGAATCTACATCTGCATGTTCAAAACATTCTGTTATTGGAATGTGGGAAACTTGTTCAAAGTATGCTCTACTTCACCTTTCTCAGTATGTTTGATAATATACACTTTCTAAAAACTGGAATTACAGAACTGAGAACTCCCCAGAAAATCACATAGTGCAATCTTCAATTGTAAGACAATCTATGGCATACCTGAAGCATTCTTGATTTATGCCTTTCTTTTAAAAGAAGTATCCTGTAAAAGAACCTACCACCAGGACTAAATAAATCCAGTCAAATTTACTGTATGTATCAATTAGACATTTTTGGCTGCTTCCACATGGAGCTTTTTCTCCACCTTCTGTTCCAAATTGGAACAGGCTTGGAATGTTTTTCAGAACTTCCACATGAGATCACATTGCAATCATTCTGTTTCTATGTTTTCTCTGTCCTCAAATATGCTCTTTCCCAAACCTGGCTTTCCTCTGATCTTTGTGGAAAGATCATAGTTCAACTGTGCTCGCATATCACCTGGACTGAATGGTATATATTTTCCTGCCCCACAAAGGCCCCATCCACACTGGTGACTTTTTCCTGCAGTTAGCCCTCAACAGGCAGTATTTTGCCAGCATTTTTTCCTGCCATATCACTAGACAGCATTTTGGAGGATTTTTCAACAACTGACAAAGGGAGCTTTGAATCTCGAAAATTTATACTCAGAAAATCTTGCCGGTCTCTAAGGTACTGCTGGGCTCAGATCTAGCTCTTCTACTCCGATCAATATGGCTACCCAGCTTAAAAAACTGATAACTTATACAGTGCCAACACGAACTATTAGTATCTATCTAGTTAACAGAACTGTTATAACGCAATAGAGTATATGTAAATAACAGGGCAGGCAACTTACTAAAGCAGCTTTGGCAACCATGCCCTGAGAGCCAATGTGGATGGAGTTGCTGTGGACCACATGTGAAAAAAATGGGAGACAAAGGAAAGTGTGCAGAAAACTCTCATATATGGAAGCTCCATCATCAACACACCTGCCTCTGCATTTCTAGCAGCGATGAAAGCAACATGGAGAATCCTCACTATGTGGAAGCAGCCTTGGTTAAAAACTACTAGCCCAATGAGAGTTATCCTGTCTACAGAAACGTAACCATATCTGCTTTCACAATATTTATTAATGCATGAAAGCAGGGATCATTTCCTGCAGGAGCACATAGGAGCGGAGTTCCGGCAGTAAGGAGCCCAGGGGTGGGCACATGCAACAAGCCCCGCCCCCTGCTCCCAGCAGCCCTTGGGCCACGAGGAGCAAGAAGCAGCCAGGAAAGTTGCAGAGTCCCGCCCCGGCCCGTCTTCAGGTACAAGGTCTCCCTCCTCTGTGAGGGCAGATCTGCGTGTTCCCCCCCATAGCTAGCAATCCAAAACAGTCCAGTGGAGCCTGAGCGGTGGGTGTTGCCTTCTGAAACACTTCCGGTGATGTCAGGGGGTGTGACATGTGCTAATGAGTTATGCTAATGAGTTATGCTAATGAGCTCCTGCACCTCTTCTTCTATGAAATGACCCCTGCATGAAAGTATGTGCAACTCAGAGGTCATAAAGAGGCTTGCCACCTTTTTGATTTTAAAAAACCCACTCAAATACATTAACAAGGAATGGGCACAAACATCATCAAAGATCACTCACAGTAACATCTGCAAGATTTGACCAAGTATTTAGTGGCATCCTATTGGACAAAATACTCATTACACACTGTAGATGAGTGTAAGGAAAAGCTGATATTCACTATCCTTAGCAAAGTGCATGTGAGATGAGGCACTCTGGAGAAGAAATGGGGGTAAAGAAAATATTTAACCTTACCCTGCTAGCCCGTTTTCCTCTGAAATTCTCTTCCCAAATTACTTGACTCTACCAGTACTAAAGCTGCAGTGTAATGCGCCATATGCCCCATATCTCTGCCAAATCTACCAACACATCATCTTTTTAACCTCTATTTGGCACATAATACATGCTTCTATGGAAAAAATATACTTTGGGGCATATGAGCAACTAATTTTTATGGCCACTGACAAATGAGAAAACAAACTGCAGAACCTTGAAGCAGGCCTTCACTGGCTTGCTATCCAAGGAACAAAGTGCCCAGAAAAATTATACTGTTGGCCATGCCTCCCATCATCAGTTAACAATAAATACATGTTTCATTATGCTACCTCATCCATAGTAACTAATTGTTGCTGTTAATAATGTTGGACCATTCACTTGGAATGTGAACATCACACTTGACATCATCTATTGCTGGAGAAATATAGGACAAAACCTCTCCACACAGAACACTCCTTGATGCAAACAGACAGCTGAGGCCTTCAGAGGCTCCTAAAAGTAACCTGGCCTAAATCTATTTCAGATTCAGTGATAAGGAGGCTCTGAAGCTTGGATAGAGGAATCAGTAGATTTTTCTCCTCTCCTGGTTGGAAGAGTTGTTCAGTGTAACCCAGCACTAGATTTCTTTAAGAAATAGTGACCTCCTTGGTCTGCCCTATGTTGCATGTGGCATGGGTGCTCAAAGGCTTGGGGGAGTTGGCAGTTATGGGGAGGCTTGGGAAGTGTCAGGTTTCTGTGCTTAAGTTATCATATCCTTACTCGATTTTTCCAAAGCTTTTTGCTTTGTCACTTCCTGGTGCTTGTTCCACAATTCTACTCAAGATGCAATGCAAGCAGGAGAGAAAGACAGAAAAAGTGTCAGCGGCTGATCAAAGATGCAGAAATGGAAAACAAAACAAAATTAAGCCACCCAACCCTGAACTGCCAAAGCAGAGATTAATGATAACTTGTATATGAAAACTTATTTCTTCAGTTAGATCAGCAGTAGAGAGCTGTAATCTTCAATTGTTAGATTTCAAGAATACTACTAATGTACAATTAAGTTGGCTGAGGAGAAAAAACTGCTCCAAGACTCACCTGATCTCATCTGACTTCATAAAAGTGACAGATTAAGAGACACACTGTCAGATTCTTTTTATCTCCAGCATTTTAAGTTTATCAGTAATTAGCCACACAAAAATTAAATACATATATATAACTAAGAACAATATGCTGCATTCAAATTGCAAGAGAAAAGGCTTTGTTTCTAATTTTATAAAATATTGATGCCTCACACCAAAAAAGCTATATTTAAAGATAATTTTAATTTTGGCCTTGGTTCCTACTTTTCTAGCCTTGCATATGTTGAATATCAAGTTATGTTAATCAGGACAAAATGAATACAAAATTTCACCTCACATTACATTTCCATATACAACAGAGGCTTTTAGGGCTCTCTACAAAAAGGACACAACTCTATAAGATGAAAATGCAGCCCCTCACTAAACCCCAAAGCACTATCTGTGGGTTTAGACAAAATGCAACAAGGGAGATCCATGATCAGGGTCTTCCTGACCCCCCTGAGGCTGCTTTGAAAATGAAGCAAGTGGTACAGAGGGAAGGGGATATTTAACTCTTTCTTCCTGTGCCACTTTACAGAGAACTCAGGTTGTGTACGGGATTCCCATACTCTGTTCCTGTGAAACAGGAACACATGAGTTGCAGGTTCACCTCAATTCCTCCATGTGTGGTGCCCAGTTTGGATTGTGACTGCAGCACGTGTGGAGAAGGGGCTTCAGCCTCCCCCAGACACACCCTTTTCCTGACCTGAAATGGTTGGGAGGGGGCCTTTTTGGGGGGGTTCATAGGTGTACGTGTGGGTTTCCCAGCAGGCCAAATATCATACCCACAGGATTATTGATGGTATGGAAAACAGCACATGGTGGAAGGCTTAAAATGCTTCCCTCCACAGTCACAATCCAAACAGGGCACAGAGCACATGGGAACTAAGGAGAACATGCCCCTGATATGAGACCTACAGAGAACATAGTGTGGGGACAATATCAGAAGGAAGGAAGGAAGGAGCATTCATTCTTGTGCTGAAAAACTTCAGTCATTCCAGGTGGTGGCCTGGTGGCCCAATAGCATTCTCAAATAAGAATGCAAGACTTTCCAGTATGAACACTGCAGGTCATGCCCTCTTCCCACCTTCTAAGGCGGAAGCTGGGAATGCTATAAGGAAGACATGAAACTCTGCTCTTACCAGATCAGAGCAGAAAAAGAAGGAAAACATTGCCAAAGATTATTTTACCGATCTGCAACAGAAGCAGGACATGGGAAACTGCAGATAGAAACAGGATCAGAAATTGGTGCAGAAACTGTTTGCAAAGGAAATAAGGGGATCATGAGCTATAAATTGTACTAATAAATGACTGAGGTTTCTGCAATGATACTAAAGAGCTAAACACAGCTTTTCTAGAAAAACTCTCCATACTTTATTTAAAGGACAATGAATACTGGGCAAGAGATGGGAAAGATGGTTGCTGGCTAGCACGTTGGCTTTACCAACTATGGTATTAGCAATATTGACTGAACCAAATGTTCACAATAGTGACAACCATACACAAACCTACAAACAAGGGGTTTTTCCCCCCTTAGTAACTCCAATTGTAATTATGGCTAAACATATAATTACAGCTCTGTTCCTTTCTATACCTGTAGGAAAAGATGGCAGGCAAAGACCAACCCTACCTCTACTGTAATTCTATATACACTTACTTTGGCATAAGTCCCAATAAGATCTGCAGAAGGGTCAAGGTGTAAGAGATTTTCCTCTCAATGATAATTAGTTCTTTGTCCAAACACTCCTAAGAAACTATGTTCCAGATACAGATTACCAATTTTGTTTGTACTAATCCCTGCCCACTTTGAGTACTACTAACATACTGGATTCCAGCATCTTACTGCCATCTCCATCACACAATTCCAAAAAGTATACTGAAGTGTTAGAAATAGGAATAAAAAATGGGGAAAAGTTAGGCTCAGTTAATATGTCTCCAAGATGCGAGAAGAGCATGTCTTTGCAGTCCAGGTGAAAGTGAAGCGCATTACAGTAGCAATGAAAGAAAAATGTTTAAATGGGGAGGATGCAAGTAGATTCTAATGCCAGTGCACAACCATTTCCCTGCATTCCACATATACATAAATACACACCAATAGAAGCTACAAAATTTTCCTCCTTTAGACTCCTTGTGTCAAACTCCCTCGGCCCTTTCCCTGCAGGACTTGGTGCCCTTGGCAAGAGCTGGGGAACTGGCAGCTGCACCTTGGGTTTCGGCTCCACCCTCACGACTAAAATAGGGTCCTTGCCAACCGGAGTGATTGCTCCATCTGTTGGGCTTCGTTTCCTTTTCTCTGGTTCTTTAAAAGAAAGGAGAAGATAAGTAGAGCTCCCCAAAAAAATCCCCCCGAAAAAATGGAAAGGAGAAGAAATTCAGAAAGAATGAGAATTGGACAGTTGGTGTTGTTAGTTTACAGATAAGGAAACAGTACTCACATTTAGATATCATGCCAACAGATCAGAAGACAGGGTCCATGGAAAAAACTACTGGTTACTATTTACAGAAACCCTTTACCCCCACCCCTTCCTCAAGGCACTGACGATCCTAGAGGACATGTTCTTATAATTTATCCAGCCTTCATCAAAGCACTGACCAAATGGGGAAAGAACACTATGAATTCTAGAAAAACCACTTAAATTGATTGGTAGCATGTTCAAGAACAAACAGAAAGAATTATGTCACCCAACACGTAATTAACTTTCACTGTCACAGAACTAGGTGATGGCCACCAGCTGAGATTACTACTTTTAAAAGTTAGACATATTTATAGAAGATAGCCATTCATAGCCCTATTAACCATAACAGCTAAATTGAATCCATATACTTCTGAATATTAGGTACTGGGCATGTGCACATGAGGGGAAGGGGAGAAGGGGTCTATGGCCTTCATGCCCTGTTTGCAGGTGTCAGACATCTGACAGATCACAGTTGGAAGTAGGATGCTGCAGCTGTTTTTAATGTTCTCATATTTCATCATCACACCTCTTCAAGTAAATGTTTATGCAAATTCAATCAAATAATGGAACTATATCACTACTAAAGGAGCAAGCTAGCAATATAAAGATTTATTTTGTATGCTATTTCTAGTGGAGATTAAAACTGTCTTTCTCCAAAAAAGATTCACTTTTTAAAAAGGAGTTTACCAAAAGGAAGCCAGAATTCTTTTTTTTTTAATTCTCTTTAAAAAACGATCTCTGCCCATTTAGCTCACTTGGAAAAAAATATATACCATCTCATGCTTTAGAACATTGTTCAAAGCAATAAATTATTAGCGTTTGCCCACCAACCAACAACAGATGTAGGCTTGGTTTCTATATCTTCTGCTGATTCCATCCACTGCTAGATCATACCTCCAGTGCATGTGTGTTTGTGAAACCATTCCTTAATTCCTTTATCATACATGAGTTGCAAACTTTCCTGTGGCTGCTATGAAGCAATACACTCAAGTGCTGTAGGTGATTAGATTTCAAAACAGACTACACTTCCATATTCTCAAGAACCTTATTACTCAGATTAAATTATTCAACTATATAAACTATAGTACAATTAAGCCAGCTCTGGTATGTTACCAAAGATGCTAACTTACATAAAACTTGTTTGAAAGTCCAGCACTAATTTAACATGTTTAACTCAAATTATATAGCTTAGGGGTAAAAGAACTTAAAACAGATTGGTAACTTCGTTCTGATCCAAGCCTAAAATGCTTTGTAAACTTAGAAAAGCTTCAGCACACTTGACAGTATCCAGCCATGTGTGGACAGACGTTTTCCTATGTTCCTCCCTCCCAATCCTCTGAAAGGTAAATCTGCAAGCTCCATTCAGAAAAACTGTCATGAAGGTTGGCAGGTTGGTCTGCGGAACCGACAGGATGATGGAATTGATCCCTTCTGCATTTGTGGAAGAAGAAAGGAGAATGATTTCATCCCACCTATCTTTCCTCAGTCCATCCCCAACCATCCTTTGGGCTACTGTTCCATAGATTTGATTTGATTTATTAAATTTCTACCCCACCCACCTGGCCGAGGCCAGTTTAGAGGTCCCATGACCCTGGGAATGACCTTTACAGGGGTCAGAAAGTGCTTCAGAAATGGAGAGGAACTTGGGGAAATTCCATCTTCTGTGGAGGAAGGGCAGGATGCTGCCCTCTCTCTTTCAGAGATACTTATTTGCATCTGACTGTAAATGAACTAGTAATATTCAAATACTGAAGCACCGTGTACAATAAATTGAAACAAACAATTAAATTAGGCTGCAATCACAAGCACCAGTAGATCTGACATAGGCGCGAATGCCCAACAGATCTAAAGGGTGCGATCAGACAGCAACATCTGGAAAGCGTCCCGCAGTCGTTGGCAACACGTGCTGCTCCGCTGCAGAAGTGGAGTAAAAAGACACCAGAGAAAATCCATTAGTAAACGGATTGTGACGGGCCACAAACAAACTTTCCCCTGTCTGATTGTGCAAGCAAGCATGCATGCTGTCAGGATGGTCTGATCAGGCCATCCCGGCTCAGTGCCATTTCCCCCCTTCTTCGCAGTGTGCACATCATTGCATACTCCCTAGGGGGCCCTCGGTGCGGAGGTGCGATTCCGCATTTATGCACATGGGAAACAAATGGCAAAAGAAACGATTCACCCGCAGTTGCATCTGATCACACTGTGACGGGCTGCACCCGCAGCTACAAAGGGAGATGTGATCTTGCAACTCTGGGTCGAATTACTCCAGAGGGAATAGCCTCAATTCCCCTCCGCTTCAACTGGCGCGTGTGACCGCAGCCTTATATAAGCAATATTTGTATTATGTCAATTGTTGTAATAATAGATGGTTTTGTAATAATAGATGTTTTTTTAATAATAGATGTATCAGAAGCCAAGTTCCTAATGACAAAATGTTCTTCCTTAGATAGATTGCATTTACACCAGCTATTACAGTGATTCTCTAATGCTTCCAACCTTTTTAACACCAGCCTTTCAAAGACTGCTATTGCTGGTTCAAAAACATTAGGCATAAAACCTTACATAAAGGATACCAAGGATTTGATAGTAAAAGTGGAAAATCTTACAGTTCCTTCCAATTCTATCCTAGCTACTATATAGTGTTACTGCATTATATACTAATATTACCCACGATGAAGGACTCATAGTTTTGGGAAACATCCTGGAAGTGCATCTGTAAAGGAAACAGCCACTCACTTTCTTATAGACTTAAGTTTGGAGAAAAATTATTTTAGATTTGGAGACCAATTTTACTACCAGGTGAGGGGAGTTGCCATGGGGAGCCCAATGGCCCCAAGTTTGGCTAACTTATTCATGATGTCATGGGAGGAGAAAAACATTTTTGATCCTGGGGTTAATCCATTTTTGATAACATATTTTATTACAAAAGGTTTATTGATAATATATTAATGGTGTTTATAGACAGTTCCAAATTTTCACTATTTATAAATTGGATTAACTCAGTACATCCCACAATTAAGTTTTCTGGCAAACACCACTTTAAGACCATTAGCTTTCTAGACACGACCATTACCAAAGACCCTTTAGGTAAACTCAGTTTTAAGACCTTTCACAAACCTACAGATAAGAATTCTTATCTCAATTATAGATTTTTTTTCATTCTCAGCATCTGAGAAACAACATCCCTTATGGGCAAGTTTTGTGTTTGAAAAGAAACTCCACGTTTTCTGAGGATTATGCAAAGGATGCTAAAGTTTTGTCTCAACAGTTTACCAGGAATGATTATCCCACTAGGATAGTGCACCAGGCAACACTTAGAGCACAGACTCAAAACCGTGTTTGCTAGCAGATAAACAACAGAGTTCTATATCACGTGTTCAGTGTGCCTTTCAGTATACCCTGCTAGCTTGTCCTATTAGAAACATTATTTTATTTACAAGTACTGGCACGTCCTAGCTGAAATACCGGGCTGCTCAGAGAAACTCTTTGTTGGCTTTCGCAGAACCAGAAACCTGGGTAATTCTTTAGAAAGATGCGACTTTCAATGTTCACCTAAGACTTTACCCCCAGTTCCTGGACATATCAGATGAGGGACAGGGTGTTTAGCGTGCCCATTACCTTTGGAGATGTACTGAAGTATTTCAGCATTCTAAAGGGCTAAAGGTAAAGGTAAAGGTTTCCCTTGCTCAAAAGCCAGTCAAATCCAACTCTATGGGGCACTCATCTCTGTTTCCAAGCTGAAGAGCCAGGCGCACGGAACCTTCCCACCGAAGCAGTACCTATTTATCTACTTGCAATTTCTTGCTTTCGAACTACTAGGTTGGCAGGAGCTGGGGCCAGAGACGGGAGCTCACTCCATCACATGGCACTAGGGTCTCAAACTGCCGAACTACAGACCTTCTGGTCTGCAGCTCAGCGTTCTAACCTCTGAGCCACCGCGGCCCCTTCTAAAGGGCTAGGATCTTGTAAACTGTCAAATTTTAGTAACTGCAATTCCCAAAACACTGTCCATTGTATAATATGCAAATATAATTTATTATACATAGTACTACACCTGCCAAGGTCCATATACTTGAACACATTTCCAGAATTAGGAATAATGTGCAAGATGCACCGATGGTGAGCCATTTTAAGCAAATGGCTCACTCTCCTGAAGATTTTCAGTTTGTGGTTTTATTTCAATACCGGGCACATTCATATAATATTAACAATATTTCACATTCATTATTACATAAGGAAGCCTGTTTCATTCATAAATTTCAGATGATTTCCCCGGATGGCTTAAATCTTTCATTAGCTCTAACCTTATTCATCTAATTATCTCCCATGACAGACTTGAAACTGACATTTAAATTGAACTGCAATTATGTGTGGCTGCCTTAAAACGAGTAATTCACTTTGGGTGTTTAGGAGAATCTAGCCACCTGTGAATCTCTGTAGGCTGTCACCACGTTCTGAAACTCTTATGGCAATTCCCTCTTTCAACTAAACGGTTAATAACTATGAGAGAAAGTGATTGGGTGTTCCTCTTTCTTTTGGGGGGTTTTCTCTGCAATAGTATTAGGAAAATATCAGTTCTGTTTGTTTCCACAGTTCTAAGTCTTGAGAAATACAGAGCTATTTTGGGACTCACACCACACTTCCAAAAATTCTAACTGACAAGAATATCTTGTTACTTTACGAGGCTTTGTAATAATTTTAATTGTTTGTAACACATCGTATGTAGTGTGGTACATTGTTCATCACATATGAAATATTTTGTAAGTGTTTCTGTTTTTTTATACTATGTCCATTATGATTTCATAGACAATTGAAGCTGTATGACCTGACAAAGGCACACAGAAATGGGATTCTTCTTACTGGCCCCCTGTAGTCTTGCAAGCTTCGTGTTGTTAACCTGACATTTGTTTACAATTCTTTGAAGTATTAAGCTCTTGAAAGATTGTGTGTGTGTTTAGTTTTGTTCATATCATTTAAGTTTGTGAAAGTATTGTACTTATACAACAACTGACACAATATAAATATTGCTTATATAATTTACATATTTATTTTAATTTATCATACATGGTGCTTTAGTATTTGAATACTGCCTTCTACACCATGGTCCTTCCATTGTGTAAATGAATTAGTGTCAGACATGTCTAGGTTGGGCCTAAGCCCTATGCATGTTGAGTGTACCATAAGTGGCTTCACATTTTTTTTCACACCAAGATTTTGTAACAGTTTCCATGTCCAAGTCAAATGGTTTAAAAATAAAATAAAATTCAGAGCATCTTTTAAGTAGGAATTAAAGAAACTGCTTTCTGAATGGGGAGCATAAATGGAATATTATTAATTTCATGTTTTCCATTAGAAAATAGGTATCTGTTCAATTACCACTCTATTTTGACATATTATAGATCTTAGTTATATGAAAACAATTGGAATTGCTTATACTTTGCATCTGAAAAAACAATGTATTTAATTGAACTGACTAAAATGAAAGCACTATTCTTATACCTGTGAGTTTTAGCCTAGACCCACTTATTCATAGGATCCCCTCTGTTTGATATGCTCCACTGAAACAGCTTTGCTAGGCTCAGCTGTAAAGCGATAAAAATGACAATGGCCTCTAACTGAGCATTCACTGTCGTGGGCCCTACCTGGTAGAATAGCCTTCCAGATGAAGTCAGGAGGCTCCCTTACTTCTATAATTTGACTGAATGTATAAAACAGAACTGTTCAAAAGGGCATTTATGAAGAGAACAGTGATCTGAAAAAACAAAATTCTACAGGAAGGCCATTTTCTCTAATGGTAATAATTGCCTTTGAAATTTTAGGAAGTTTTCTTTCCCCCTCCTTTGTATTATATTGTTCATTGGATATGTTACACTGCTTTTGTTTCATTGTTCTCTATGGGATATATTATATTGCTTTTATTTCAATGTTCCTTAATTGTACGAACCAGTTTTATTGCATCATTCATTGTATCGTATTGATCTTTACTGCATTTATTTGTAATCCATCTGCACTCTCAAAGAGAAAGGCAGATGATTAGTGATATAAATTCACACAGAACACAAAACTACAAAAACCTAAACTACGACATTGGATGCACTCATTGGATGCACTAGACAACCAAGCAAGATTCAGCGAAACAAAAGTGGGGCTTTCTCCAAAATTTATTTTCCTTTTTTAACATGATCCATTAATGGTTTGAATTCTCTTACCTTTGTTATAGTAGTGAGTATAAGCTATCTCCAGTAGGCCAAAGACACTGGCCATGCCCCCAAGTCCAGCATTTGCATATGACTGCTCAAGGCTTGACACAGTACATTTCAGCAAGTCCAACATCCCTTTATAAACCTTGCGGTTGATTTCCTACAATAAAAACCCTCACAGTGGTGAGGGTGCTTCATTAATTAAAAGCTTGTTTCAGTTAATTAACTGTCCATTTTAAAAGCCACAATTCCCTTGCATTCTAATCAATTGTCTGCAGCAGGCAGCTACATTTTCTGTAACTGCTAAAGAAGAAATTCAAGATATTTTCAGAATTCCTTCAATTAATCAACTCTGCAGAAATGCGTTAGCCCGAGTAAGACAGAGAACTGACCACATCCGGGACAACATCCTGTCGTGCATCCTCCTCTGACTGGATGGTACGATTGAGCTTGCTTAATACGAAGACACGGAGTTGTTCACTCTCCAACAGACGTCGGACTCTCTTCATGTTCAGCCAACCAACTCCTTGCCCATCTAGGACATTATGCACCACCTCTTTTAAGAACTGCTGGTTCTCACTACAAGATGGAGATAAACAGAGTACAGAATGGAAGAGTAAGATTCCTGAAAACTGAATTTGAAGTCATGGGGCTGGGTCCTATCAGCTGTTCCACTGGTGCAATAAGGGGGAACTCTCCCAGCTTCCTTCTGCATTGCAGTCCTGCCTCATGTGGCTTTTTTGTACACACATGTCCTAAGATCTCCAGTATAGCCTTTGCAGGGTTTAAAAGGAAACTGCTTGTGCCAATGGAAAAACCTGGTGGAATACAACCCAACTCTGAGATGCTTTCATAGATTCTCCCTCTTAATTATATTAGCACACCACAAATATATCTGTGTTCATGCTATGGCAGCCTTGATAACACACTGCAATACTATACATGATCATAATTTATAATTTAGAATCATAGAATCACAGAGTTGGAAGGGGCCATACAGACCATCTAATCCAACCCCCTGCTCAGTGCAGGATCAGCCTATTTATTTATTATATTTATTTATTTGTTTAATTTATATAGCCTAGAGCATCCCTGACAAGTGCGTAAAGACTGCCAGGGAGTGGGAGTTCACTACCTCCCTAGGCAGCTGATTTCACCTTTGCACAACTCTTACTGTAAAAAAGTTTTTCCTAATATCCAAAAAAAATCTGGACACACACGACCCAATCAGTTGAACAAGTACAAAGCCAACAGTAATGATAGTCTGACCCACAATCAAACAGTCATAAGACTTATAAAGAATGCTGTTTATGTATTGCAATCTAAAGCACTATAACATGATACACAACGTCGTCTCCGGATTACATAACAACGTTTCAAAAAAATGAATCTTCTTCAGGAGATATTATAGTGGTGCCAAAGCTCTCAGTTTCATAAATGTTAGACAACAAGTCTTAAGAATATTAAATTCAGATAGGACGCTGATCTCAATTAACATACAGGCTCAAAATATGTTTCTACTGGATCACTAATATCCAGCCAGTACCATCCCGCCCTTAATTTAAACCCATTACTGCGAGTCCTATCCTCTGCTGCCAACAGGAACAGCTCCCTGCCCTCCTATAAGTGACAGCTCTTTAGATACTTAGAGAGAGCAATCATGTCTCTCTTCAACCTCCTCTTCTCCAGACTGATCATTCCCAAGTCCCTCAGCCTTTCCTCATAGGGCTTGGTCTCCAGGCCCCCAATCATTCTCATCACTCTCGTCTGCATGCACTCCATTTTGTCCACATCCTTTTTGAAGTGAGGCCTCCAGAATATGCCAGGTGCGGCCTGACCAATGCAGTGTACAGCGGGACTGTGACATCCTGAGATTTGGATGTTATTCCTCTGTTGATACACCTCAAAATCACATTAGCCTTTTTTGTCACCACATAACACTGGCTACTCATATTAAACTTATGGTCATCCGTACCCCCAAGATCTTGTTCACAGACACTGCTATTCAGAAGTGTATCCCCCATCCAGTAGGCGTGTTCCTCATTTTTGTTACCCAGATGTAGAACTTGAGTAACTTCATGTTACTCAAATGAAGTATTGATGATACTAGCTTAGAAGCGATTGCAAATATTTCAAAGGATACACTAATTTAAAATAATCTCAGTAAACTGAAAAACTGATCTGACCCCCCAACTATATTTTAGCAAGGAAGTGTTACACACAAACAAGAGCCACATACATAAACGGAAGAGACAAACAGACATCACTGAGAAAGTTTTGTGGATAAGGGTGCATAATAAATGAAAGACAAGTTGACAGTGTGATGCTGGGTTACAAAAGACTCTTTTATCAGAAGAACATTAGTTTCAAAACTTTTGAAGCCAATGGTACAGCACTCCTGAGCAATGGTAAAATCTCATTTGAAGTACTGAGAATTATGAACCAATTATAACTGAGAATAATTCATATGACAGCAGTGGTGAAGATAATGGAAAAGACTGAAAACATTATGTTTAGCCAAGAAAATAAAAGATTAAAATGAGGAGATAACAGCTTTCAATTATTTCATAGGATGTCAGAAAGGCAGATTATAACTATTGTTTGCATAATCCTCCAAGGGTAGGACAAAAAGCAATGGTTTTTTTTTAATAACTTTATTTTTAATAATAATTTTATAACTTTATAACTAACAACATTCAATACAATACAAAATCAACATATTTGGCAGGTAACTCAAAAGCAATGGTTTTAAAGTACAAGATAAATACATTTGGATTAAATATATGGAGATGGGAAACGTAAACAGAATTCACTAAGAGATTAGGATGAATGATGCTCTGGTAATTCCACATATCAGCCACATGGGGGGTTAGTAACAGTTTTGGAGGGAGGTTGTATTGGACAGATGAGGAGAAAATCGAGATCACAGCCACAGCATTATGGGGGCGGCTGAGTTTAACCCTCTCCCTTTTCCCTTCCTCAGTCAGCAAAACAGACAGCAGGGGCTTTGTAGGGATGCAACTGAAGTCAGGAAAACCACACAAGGGTTTAAACACTCGCCGCTCCCTGCTCTACTGCTGTTAAGCCTGGTGGGGGGAGATCACAGGAGATCCATCACAGATTTCCTAACGTCTGGTTTAGTTTGGCACTTTTTATTTATTTTATAGTCTGCCTTTCTTACTTGGACTCAAGGTGGATTACCTAGAGAGAGTCAATATGATCAATGGATGGGACTTTCACTACACAATGCAATAAGATTAGGGTTGTATAACCAAACAGGTCTAAAAACAGAACTGAAGTAAATTACAAGTATTAACAATAAACATTAAAATATGCAACATTCCATAGAAGGATCCTAGTTGCAACAAGCTGTACAACAGTAGTAAAGACCAAAGTCCCTAATAATTTTTCTAGGAAACTTTGTGAATCATTCAGTGCAGTGCAGTGCCTGCACAGAAAAGCCCTCTTGAATAATTCAGTGTTGCATAGTTTGAGGAAAGCCAGGAGTGCGAGCCTTCCTGACATTCCCAAGTGGGCCGTTCCACAAGGTGGGGGCCACAACAGAGAAGGCACATATATGGGCAGTTGCTGATTTTGCCCATTTGTAGGTTGGCACCTGTAGAAGACATTGCTCCAATGGGCAAATCTGTCATGGTGGAGCATGGGGGAGATGTGGTCTCACAGATATGAGGGTCCAAAACCATGAAGGGCTTTGTATGTGATAGCTAATATCTTAAGCTGTGCCTGGTAACTGATGGGCAGACAGTGAAATGCCTGCAGGATTGGAATAATATGAGTCCCCCATCTAGCTCCTGATAATAGCCAAGCTGCAGAATTCTGCACCAGCTGGAGTTTCCAACTTGCTTTTGAGGGGAGACAAATATACAGTGCATTGCAGTAGTCTAGTCTCATTGCTACCGGGACCAGTGTTCCCTCTAAGCTGAGTTAGTGTGAGCTAGCCCACAGATTTTTAGCCTCCAGCTCACACATTTTTGTCTTAGCTCAGGAAGGATGGCTCCAGAGCAAACTAACTTATGCAGTAGCCAGATTGCTCGCTCACAACTTTAATGCCAGTAGCTCACAAAATAGAATTTTTGCTCACAAGACTCCACAGCTGAGAGGGAACATTGACCAGGGGGCCAGATCAGCCATATCTAGGTAAGGGGCCATTTTTCAAGCTAGGCTGAGTTGGAAGAAAATCTTTTTTGCAACTGCATTAACTTGCTTCTTCAGCAATAATGTTGGGCCCAGTACAACCCTGAGACTCTTAACTGGGTGGGCAAGGCTCAGCTGAATTCCATCAAAAGTGGGGAGCACAATGTCCTTCAAGGTCTCTGCCTTCCAAACCAGCATTACCTCTGTCTTTTCATAGCTTAGTTTCAATTTGTTCACTCTTAACCAATTTACCACAGCAGCCAGAAAGTTATTTAGGACCTCCACTGTATCACCAGGTGACTTAGATAAGGCTATATAGAGCTGGGTAATGTTGGCATATTGATGACATCCAGCCCCAAAGCTATGAATTATTTGTCCTAAGGGCTCTACATTTTGATTGAAAAACATAGGGGATAGGATTGCACCCTGTGGAACTCCACTGGATAGGTTCCACACTGACGACAACCAGTCTCCCACAGCAACCCTTTGAGTCCAATCTGTGAGGAATGATTTGAACCAATTTAGCATGCATCCCCTGATACCTACTTCTGCCTCCAAGCACATTAACAAGATGGTATGATATACTGTATTAAAAGCTGCAGAGAAGGCCAACAAGAGCAACAAGGAGGCATGGCCTTTGTCTACAGACAGAGGTCATCAAGTAAAGCTAACAGAGTCGTCTCTGTCCCACAGCCCAGCCTGAAGCCAGACAGAAAACGGTCTAGAGCAGATGAGTTATCCAGTCCAGTAGGAGTCATGAACCATGGGCGAATCATTTTTACCAGACCCCTCTTGTGTGGGGTGTTGGAGCCACATTTACCTTGGCTTTAAGTTGGTAGTGGTCAGAACACACTTCAGGTCAAATCTCTAACCCCAAAACGACTTCCAGTTTTGGCGACTCACTGGCAGGTGCACTCCATCATACTCTGATGAGAGCGGCCCATAACCGCGGTGGACAGGAGGGGTCCTGGACAATTCCGGGGGGGGGCAGAGCCCTCGAAGGGGGCTCGTAGCCTGGGGCACGGGGGGTGCCTCTTCCAAGGTGATGGCCAAGGAATTGAGGCTCCTCTCTGCCTCGATAGGTCCCGCCGCCGCGAGACCAGTAATGGAGGTAGAGGCGCATGCCAGACCGAGCGAGCAAGTGATCCAGCGCTCAGAGGCTTTCCCTATCTTTGGAAGTGACGTGAGTGTGCATCTTCTTAAAACTAACCAAGTGCTCAAGCGGATAATCGCCCCCAAACCCCAAGTCGATGTAGCAGAGGAGGGAGGAGTTAATCTCACCCCTGAAAAAGTTACTGTGAGAGCGAATACGAGGGGCAGAGAGACGGTTTTGATTGAAAAACATTAATCCAGCCGAGTAGCGTGCGGAACAGTAGAAAGTGTATGAATTAACAGACTTTCAGAGACTTAAAATAACTTATTCTTTCTGTGTAAACAATGATGCAACGGGCTGATAAAATGGCGCCTAAGAAGGGACCTTCTTCAGGAACTGCCAGCTCAGTGACGCCGGCCTCCAGACCCGAAGTAACCACCAACTTCCCTAACATGTTAGCTATAGCACTACACCCTCTGCTGGCCCAGATGACTAATCTCAACAATAATTTTGATGCTCTCCAGAAGCAATTGAAAGAAACCAGCATAAGAACAGAAGAAACAATTAAAATGTTGAAAAAAGTTGATGCTAAGACAAATGTGATAAATCAGAGACTGGAGGTCGTAGAAAATGAGAGGACCTCTGATAAAGGACAGTTGCTACAGCTACAAATGGAAAAATCATCATATGTCCTGAGATTTCAGGGTATCCCAGAGCAAAAAGGGGAGAACTTGAAGGAGATTTTAAGCAAAGCTTTGGCTCCAGTGGCAGATCTTAAAGAAGAATCTCTACAAAACGACATGGATATGGTGTATCAAACATATTCAGACTTCATTAAGAAAAATAAACTGCCTGGCGAAGTATTTGTTAAGTTCTCCAAAAGGTCAACAAGGGACACAATACTGAAAGTGACTAATAGGATAACCCTAAAAATCAAAGGCGAAGAAACGAGAGTTCTAAAAGACATTCCATCTGAGATAAGAAAAAAGAGGAAACAAAAATCTGACATCTATTTTACAGAAAAATTCCACCCCCTACAGATGGATAACACCAGAAAGACTTATCTTCAACTACAAAGAGAAAAAAGAAAACATTGGCTCTGTTACAAAAGCAAAGGCATTTTTGGAACAGCATCAAGCAACAGCGAAAGAAAAAGGGAAAGCAGTGGATAATAACACAACGGAGGCAGACCGCGAACATGGATCAGGAAGCAGCGGCATCAGGGGACCCCCTTGAATATTGTATAATTGCTTAATTCGCACCCTTCCCTTTAGTTCTAACATGAAATGGTTAAGATATCTGTATACTCTCAATGTCTCAATAAACTTTACTTCTTTGAAAGAAAGCTGTTGGGAACTGATTGCTGCAGGAGTCTGACACAGGGTATGTGTACTGTTTGGGGGATCTAAACACAGTTCTCATTACCTTCTACAGGAACTAAACAGGGGTTTTAAAGAACAGTCAAGCACATATTCATCTTTTGCAAAGAAGGCATTTTGTACACTTACCTGGAATTACTAGTCCGTCCTTGTGGTGAAGGAGATTCCCTCTTCACAGTGGGACTGTGCTTTATAACAGAAGATTTCTGGTCCACAAGAGCTCTTCTGTTTCCTGCTTGTGAGAGGAGATAGGATAAGAGTGTAGTCACTGAAATGGGTATCTAAGTCCATGGATGGCACCAATGAGAGACACAAGAATTAACTAACACTCTAATTAAAGGACATACAGAGAAACTTGAAAAAGCAGCAGCATATTTTGTATTATTGCATCATACATCGGCAGAAAACAGTAATGGGAATGAAGTAGACACAAAAGAGAAGATGGTAACAAGAGCAGAAGGTGAAAGGCAGGAAGCTTGGCTGCTCTGCATGCATTTCTGCCACAAGAACCATCTTCTGATTAGACACTATATGGAAAAGCATAATGTGTTATGGGAGAATGAATAATAGAAATTATGTGATACTGGTTACCAGTGAGAAGTTGCCCAAAAAGACAGGCACAAAGATGCTTGCTGGGAGCTGGTATGTCATGCATATCTCATGATGCAAGGAACCCACCTTCATTGCTTACTGGCCCAACTTCAGTAATAATCTCCATTATAGTATTTAGCCCAAATACTGGTACACAAAATAAACAATTAGTAGTGTATAGTAAAATCACCACCATCTCTAAATATTTAGAAATGAGTTTGTTGCTTTCTTCCTCCTCCCAGCCCACTCTCTCAAAAAGAAATTCTGAATTAAGCTAAGCAATGTATTTCTTAGGCTGGTTCAGATAGCAGCTTCCCCTTGGAATAAATCAGAAGTGGCAAGTGGCAATGTAATTTAAGAAAGAAATTCCAACTGGGCATTGGAGATGGAAGAAGAGATGTTTCAGGTCTCATTTTAGTTTGACCCACCTGCACCAACTCAGCTTGTGATGCAGCTTGCATGACCAGTGACTAGCAGAAGAGTGTCCACTGTCCCTGTGTGGTTTGTGGCTATACAGGATATGTGCTAAATCAGCATGTCTAAGATTCAGTAAGTCCAGAAGCACACTTTGAAACAAATGGTTGGTCTTTGTGGCTTCCATCTACAAAACCCTAAGTATTATCACTCTAAAGGGAATCATAGATATTTATCTGTTTTCTCCCCATGGAACTATTGTTTCTAGGGATCCTTGAGGGAAGTCATGCCAAATAAAACTAGCATAAGACTGTTTCACATTTGCAGCAGACATATCCCTAACTGAAGAAGGAAGGTTATTTGAAGGCTCCGAAGGCTCCTCTGGATCCCATTGAAAACAAAACCCTTGCGAATTACTACTATATATTTTCTTGCATCAGCAATGCAAATAAAAAATTCTTTCCCCTCAGAATATACAAAGGTAAATAAGCCAAAACCATAAGGAAGAACTGGAAAAGGTGATGAAATGATGGCATAATGGAGTTATAATGTGGAACAATTCTCTACCTGTTTCATATCTCAAAGACAACAAGAACATCAATAATCATTTAGTACACAAGAGTCTACCATCAGATCATCTCCAAAAACAATGTTTAAGAGAAGCACCAGCTAAGCCTTATATGAAAGACACAGAAAAACTGACGAGAAGGAAACATTGTGCGTGCACTGTACTTTAGAAACTCGCAGAGGACACATGGAATAGAAGTTGTCAAGAAATGAGAAGAAACTGCAGAGGATGAGACACAAAACACAGAAAATGGCAAAACCCATCACTGTTTTCTTCCAATGTGTGTTATCAATAGCATGTTTTAACTAGCAAAAGATCTCTGCACAAATAAATATGGGAACATGAACAAATGGAAATATCCCCAGAGAGAGATCATGCAGAGTCTTCAAAACTAATCACATTTCTTCTCAGTTTTAGTTTTACACAAATACACACACACAAACACCCAGGAAAAATTTATTCTACCCAAAGCAAAGTCCAAGGCAGCAACACAAAACCAACTTTTGGCCTTTTAGTAATAAAGGTCAAAGGTTAGCAAGACATCATACCAACCTTCATCCACATCCCTTCCCACTTCCAGATTAAAGTAATCTTTATGATGAAAATGGAGAGGGGGAAAAATAAATAAAATCAACTCAATAAAAAAGAAAAATAGTATATTCTAATTATATAAGAACTGAAAAAAGCAAAACAAAACTTTTTTCTGGTTGCGCAACTGAAATGTTTCAATACAAAAGGAATGATAAACTTTAGTCTCTTCTTCATCAACAACAATCACTAAAACTAAGCTCTAGTACAAATAAACTAGTTTGACATGACAATACCTGAGGCCTCCATTTAGAATTCTTCAAGGGTGATGGAATTGTTCTAATGTAAGCTAACTTCGATGGCTCTGAAGGGAAAAACTATCAATACCGCCTCTCAAGTAATTTTTTTTTCCAACTAGCAACATTATGTTATATGTGAGGACAGTTTAAATGCCATGGCTGCACACACAAGCCCTGTCCCATAGCAGTGCTCCATGTGGCAAGCATAACATTGTAGAGCTCCTATTAGCAGGATCTTCACATTTGCAGACAGCACCTGCACACCCAGACCACCACTGACAGTTCTGCAGTTCTGGCACAAAGACTAGAGTAAGGCACACAATAAGGAGATTTTAAACACTATATGGCAGCCATGTTGTCTGCTGCAAAGGGAAGAGCTTTTCAGCAGCCTTCTCACAAAGGCAATAAAGTCCACATCAGTCCAAAAGATTAAGAATTTATAACCATTTCACACTTGGAGAATACATTCCCACTTAAGTGCATTTCTTACAGCCTGTGTATTACAGTGAAAGGAAGCAAAACAATGCCCCTCCCTAAAGTCATAAGTAGTGACTTGAAAAAAATCAATGCACTACCCCCAAAGGAGTGTATGTTTCTAGACTGCCCTGTCCCCCAAAATGCCTTGGGGCAGAGGATGTTTCTTTGACTGCTTGGCAATCAAAGAGATTCTGAAGGCAGTTAACAGGCAAGGAAAAATTGTTACCTTTCAGACTAGGAAATGGAGTGTTTTTGTCTCTCCCAGCTTTGGTTGGAAGTGCTAAATTGGACAGGCTAAAGCTTGTGCTGTGGTTCTTGTATAGGCTACCTATAACAGAAAGAAAATATATCAAGTGACCTAATTACCCCGTTACCTCATTCTGCGATTCACTTTGTTGCTTATACCTGAAAGACTTTCTGTCCTCAGTAGTAAAGCTGGCTCTCTGCTAGGGATCAAACAGATCTTTGCTGCCTGTTTCCTCTGTGTAGTGACACTTGTATTTCTTAGTGGCCTCCCATCCAAATACTGACCAGGGCCAACCCTGTCTAGCTAGAGAGGTCTGAAGAGCTGGGCTATCCAGGTCAGGGTGCTTCCTCATTAGTGCATCAAGATTCTCAAGAGACACTTAGACATGACAGTGGGTAAGGGTGAGAAACTGGGTAAAAAATAGGATATGCAACTGACCTGTGCTTCCTGTTCTCTGTTTCTCCATCTTATTTGAAAACCAGTCCTGCACATTTCCCCAGGGAGGAGATATGCAAGCTTCCACTATGGAAATGGCTTATACATTAGTTCTCCTGCTGGGAAGATTCTACAAGATAATTTTCAAATGAGACTGTGGGAAATGCATGGAACAGGAAGCAAAAACTTTCTCATACCCAGCACATTGTCATATTCAAAGTGGTTTTTAATAGAGGAGGAAAGGAACTGCTTCATAGATAATAAACTGTGGCCACACAAAACAAAGATGCCACTTTTGTAAGTGGTGCAGATATTCACAACAGAACTGGGGTGCCCAACCTGTTTCTTCCTCAAAGGCCTTCTTAATTGTTCTCATATTAGACTTAACAGAGATTGTTCATTATTTGAACAAAGGATTAAAATTAGTCACAACATTGCCTAAATGCCTTCTATTTGTGGTGTCAGTGTGAGATGGCAAAACATTCTCCTGTGCAAATATATGATCTTCCCAATCCTTTGGCTGAAGAAATGCAATCCACTAATCACTGAAATTTATTTACAGCCTAGATTTCCATCCAGTGGATCCACAAAATGATTATAATAAATTTCATTAAAAGTACAGCATTCAATAAACTATTAAAATATGTCCCCAAAGTCGTACATAATAGCAAGCCAAGAGTTTATTCCCTTGAAAGAACATCTTATTCTGTTTTGCAGAAACAGAAGGCAGCTAGTCACAGAGGCCTCAGCGGGATTCCACAATCAGAACATCTTCACCAAAAAAGGCTCTACTACTGGCAGATGCTAACATCACCTTAGCAGGGCCCCAACAGAAGATCTTATAAAGGATGTGGTGCTCTTTAAAGTACCCTGGTCCCAATCTACATAGAACTTCAAAAGACTTTATACCAGGACATACAGATGCATCTTATATGAAGTTTATTATGCTAGCAAGGGACATATTATGAGTCTAAAAGCAAAATGTAAATGCCAGGTGTCACCAAGTATGCAGCATTCAATTAGCACTGAATAAGGACAGGTCAAAAACAACTCCAAAACAACTTTTCTGCCTAGCTTTTCTTGGGCCCTGGGTAGCAACAAATATTATGCCCTTGCACCACTCTCTCTTTGAATTACCACATTTCCAGTTTGTCATTTCAAGATCCATGGCCCTATGTTAGTATTTACCAAACTCAGCACTTTCCTTCTAGGACAAGTCTCCTTCCCTTGCTATTGCAAAAGCTGAAGTTAGGGCAACAATACATCTAAGCAACAGTCTGATTAGTATCTCGCAATGAAGTCACTTGGAGTAAAATTCTTCATTTTTCTTACACAAATGAATTGGAAGATGAAACCTATGAGAAAAAGTTGAAGGAACTGGATATGTTTTGCCTGAAAAAAGACCACAAAGTGACAGAATTGCACTCTTCAAATACTGAGGCACTGTCACATACAAAAGGCAAAGACTTCTTTGCTGTTCCAGCAGACAAGACTAGATCTAGGATCAATTTCCAAGATAGTAGATTTCAGCTGAGCTTGAGGAGAAATTTCCAAAAGGTAAAAGTAGCTTGACAACAAAACCAAATATATAGGGCAGTAGTGGGCTCGCTGGAGATGTTCAGGTAGAGGCTGGACAGCTTAGCTTTGGATTTCTTGCACTGAGCAGGACAGGATGACTTATAAGGACTCTTCCAACTCTATAATTCTGGGAGGTTTTTATGTTGTTCTCTTCCCACTTCCCCCAACTGCTGTTGTTAATATAAACAAAACAATGATACATACTAGCAAAAGACATGATGCCACCAAAACCTTCACTGCTATTGTTGGAGATTGTAGAATTTGGGGAACTGGCATGAGAATCCGATTCTGCATCAGAGTCATTGCCCAGCTTTAAGCTGTTGGGACGAAGAAGCGTCTGAGGCCTTAAAAAAAGACATAGATTATAGTACTGACATCACCATGTATCCTGCATTCATAATCGGAATAATTTCATATCAATAATATAATTTTTCAATATTTACCACGACTGTGAATTGTACTAAAAGAAGTAAGCTTTTGATAGGGCTCCCCATGATGTTCTGATGGGTAACCTGGCAAACTGCGGACTGGACTAGTTAGGTGGATCAGAAACTGGTTGAAGAACCTTACCCAAAGAGTAGTTGTCAATGGCATTTCATCTCACTGAAGGAGGTATCCAGTGGGGTTCCACAGGGCTTGGTTCTGGGCCCTGCACTTTTCAATATTTTTATAAATGATCTGAGGGTGGGGGTAAAGGGACAACTCATTAAATGTGCAGGTGACACTAGACTGGGAGAGGTAGCAACCACACCAGAAGATAAGAGTTGGAATTCAAGTGGGCAGATATGAATAAGATACAGTTCAACAAGGAGAAGTGAAGAGTTCTACATTTGGGTAACAAAAATGAGAAGCATGCATACTGGATGGGGGATTCACTTCTGCGTAGCAGTGTTTGTGAATAAGATCTTGGGGTATAGTTGGACTGTAAGCTTAATATGAGCAGCCAGTGTGGTACAGTGACAAAAAGGGCTAATGAAGTCTTAGGGGTGTATCAACAGAGGAAAAACATCCAAATCACAAGATGTCATAGTCCCGCTGTATACTGCATTGGTCAGGCTGCACCTGGAGTACTATGTGCAGTTCTGGAGGCCTCACTTCGAAAAAGGTATAGATAGAATGTAGTGGGTACAAAAGAGAGTGACAAAGATGACCAGGGCCTGGAGAGCAAGTCCTAAAAGGAAATGCTGAGGGACTTGGGAATGTTCAGTCTGGAGACTGGTTGCACTTACCTTTAACCTTTGTTCAGCGTGTAGTATTCTGTGCAGGTGCACATGTGACTGCAATTCTGCATGCCTGCCACCGAGAGGAGCTAGTGAGGTCTTTAAAGAAATTTCTAGTATTCCCTGCAGCACTGTGAGCTTCCCACCCCAAAGGTCATGTGATATGGGAGGAGTGAGCACTCTCCCCTCAGATCTCCATCTGTCACTGACAAAAATAAGATTGAGACAAACCACAGCAGGGGAGGGAGGGATGTGCCTGCACAGAAGACCACTCGATGAACAAAAGTTACAGGTAGGTGCAACCCTGTTTTCATCTTCATGGTTTCTGTGCAGTCCCACATGAGAGAATAGCAAGTTCACTTACTGCAGAGAAGTGTGTGGGACATCTCAACGAAAAACTGATTGCAGAACTGCTTTCCCCATAAACATCCATTGAATAATAGTCAACAAACGTTGATGGAGTGAACCAGGTCACTGCTTGGCAGAGGTCCTCAAGGGGAAGATCCGACAAGAAAGCAGCTGAAGACGCCTGAGCTCAAGTGGAATGAGCTGAAAGTGACAGTGGACGTTGTGTCGCTGAAGCTGCATAGGCTAACCTTAAAGCAGCACAGTGCCAATGCCCCTTTTCCCTTCCTAGGACCCTGAAAACATACAAATAATAAAACATACAGCCTAATAAAACAGGACAGCCATCCGGACATCTAGGGTATGAAGTGTCCTTTTCGCATGTGTGGAGGGGGAAGGGAAAAACACAGATAAGATGATATCCTGATTCAAATGGAACTTTGACTCCATCTTCGGTAGAAACTTTACGTGTGGCTGAAGAACCACTTTGTCCGCATTAAATTTGAAGAAGAGGGGCTCAGAGCAGAAAACACTAAGCTCTCCTACTCCCCTGGCAGATGTTATCGCAACCAGGAATGTTACATTATAAGACAGGAACGACAATTCACACATCACCAGGGGTTCAAACTGTTTATGGACAAGTTTAGCCAAAACAAGGGATGAACTTCATTGTGGTACAGGCTTCAAAGATGGGGGATGCAAATTACTGAAACCATTAAAAAAACGTTGGAATCCTTGTTAGCAAAAACAGTGATGCCACTAACCAAGTAATGTGATGCAGAAATTGCTGCTAAGTAAACCTTTAAGGATGAGTTAGACAATCCTGCATCCCTCAGGGAGAGCAGGTATTCGAAAATCTTAGTTAACATGCAAGACTTAGGATCTAGCCCATTAGAAGCAGCCCAGAAAGAAAAATGCTTCCACGTGAGAAAGTATGGTGGAAGGTTTACAGGCCACTTTCATCACATCCTTCACCCAACCAGTGAGGGAGGCATGAACACACATACATCATGATTGTGGTAACCTAACTCCATACCCTTGATAAGGCTGCGAGATAACTGACCACCAGTGGAGGGATCTTACAATAGACCTTGGAATGGAAAGTTTGATCCAGGGGGAGTCTGCATGGGCATGAAAAATTCTGACAAACCAATTTTGCAGTGGCCTCATATATAACCTGGCATGTGGCATAACAGCTGTAGTTGCTGATTTATACCCCATATACTCCATCCAACAAAGATGGAGGTCCTGTACTTGAGTCATGGGGGACTGGGGTTGGGAATCAGGCTCCCAGTCTTTGGTGGGGCACCATCGGTGCCAGTGCCACAGGTAAGGAGTCTCAGGGTGATGCTGAACCCCTCACTTACTATGGAGGCCCAAGTCACTTCGGCTGCCAGATCAACCTTTTATCATCTTCAGCTGGTCACAGAGCTCGTTCCCTATCTTGGCCCTCAGGACTTAGCTTCAATGATCCATGCAATGGTCACTTCCAGGCTAGATTACTGTAACTTGCTTTACATGGGGTTTCCCAGGGGCATACATTCAGCTGGTGTTGGACCAACTGCATTGGCTGCCAATCAAGGTTATGGTTTTGACCTTTAAAGCCCTATGCAGCCTGAGACCATCATACCTGCAGGATCGCCTCTCCCCATATGAGCCCCGGAGAGCTTTACGCTCTTCATCAAAAGCCTTGGAGAACTTTATGCTCTCCTGATCAGCATCCCCTGGTGATTCCCGGCCTGAGGGATGTCCACTTAGCCTCAACCAGGGCAAGGGCTTTTTTGGTCCTTGCCCCAACCTGGTGGAACATGATCCCACCCAAGATCAGGGTCCTGCGGGACCTATTGTGGTTCTGCAGGGCCTGTAAAGTGAAGCTGTTCCACCAGGCTTTTGGTTGAGGCAGTGGACATTCAATCATTCTGGCTCCCCTGTTCATGGTCCCTTCCCAGTGCCCTGCTGCTTTAGATAACATTACTTGGGCACTGGATCTTTTTATTCACCTGACATGAGGCATGGGTTCTTTTTCGATATTGTTTATTGTGCCATCTGTTGTTTTATTGTTTCTATCACTTTTATTGTTTATGACTCTTATGTTGTAAGCCACCCTGAGCCCACTTGTGGGATAGGGTGTGGTGGTAACAACAACAACAGCAATAATAATAATATAAAAGTTGGATGAATTTCACAGTCTACAGGAACAAACAGATTGTACCAATGCTCAAATGTGTTGGGCCCAAGGCAGCAGCAGAAAGGCTTTGTTGGCCCTGAAGTCCAACTGTGCCCCTATAACCTGGATGGATTGGGTAGGCATGAGGGACAATTTATCATAGTTTTTCACCAAGCCTAAGCACTGCAATGTATGTACTACCTGATCCAGACCTAGCTGGAGGTGGTCCAGAGACTCAGCCAATCACCTAGATAGGGATAGACTACGCAGCCCTTAAGCCTGAAATGAGACACCATGACTGACATACATTTGGAAAAAACCCAAGGGGCTGAGGCCAAACCAAAGGGGAGGATGGTATATTCAAAAACCATGCCCCCATGGAGGGATCTCAAGAACTTCCTACAATGCTTGTGGATTGGGATGTGAAAGTAGGCATCTTTGAGATAAATGCTGGCAAACCAAAGTCCCTAGACAGTAGCTTCTGAAACAGGAAGACTGTGAGGCACAGGGTAAGTGTGAAGCTCAAGGAAATAACCATATTTTATTATAGACAGCACCCAGGTATCCTCAGTAATATTCAACCAAACATCATAAAACTGTAACAACTGGTCCTTAAACAAGAGACCTTCAACTAGTCATGAAAGATCATTGCCCCGATTCGAGGAATCCCTTATAGGCTTGTTGCCTTGAGAAGCCTTATTCCACAGTTGGCATCTACCCGTATTCTGGGGGTAGGAGGACCAGAAGGCCCTAGGTAGGCAGGGGTCTGGTACTGATTATCAGTGTACCTGAACTGCCTCCCATAGTTGTACCTCTGAGAGGGCTTAGACCAATACCTGAGTTCTGTCTGTACAATGGAAGAAGAAGTGATCCCAAAGTATTTATCTGTAAGTCTGTATTTGTGGATGCATTCAAGCATCTCATCAGTCTGCTCACTAAAGAGTTCTTTACCCACGAAGGGTAAGTCCTCTATCTTAGCAGGGGTATCAGGCAGAAGGGCTGAAGATCTCAGCCAGCAGTGATGGTGTTAACAACAAGGCAGAACCCATGGCACGGCTGTGGCAGTCAGCATTGTGATGCACTGCATTCAGTTGCTGTTTTCCCAGTCTCATTCCTTCTTCAATCAGTGCTTTAGCCAGTGCCTGCTTCTCCTGCAGTAGAGACTCCATGAATGGGAACATTTTCTCCCAGAGCAACCTGTTGCAATGTTCCATTACTGCAGCAAAACTGACACAGAGGCCCATTGCCCCCAAAGAATAGATTCTAGGGCTGACATAGCCCAATGTTTGCCCTTCCCTGTCACTGGGTAAACTACAAGACCCAAATCAGCCCCTCACTGGAAGCACCTCTGAGATGAATGAATTCACCTTGGGATGCTGTAACAGATAGGAACAGTCACTCTCTTTAAGCCTGTAAAGATTTTTGTAGCTTCCCAGGCTGTAAAAGCGACCTCTTGTAAACCCTGTATAAAGGGCAGGGCAACTAGAAGAAGAAGAAGAAGAGATTGGATTTATACCCCGCCCTTCACTACCCAAAGGTGTCTCAGAGCGGCTTACAAACTCCTTTCCTTTCCCCTCCCCACAACAGACACCCTGTGAGGTGGGTGGGGCTGAGAGAGCTCTGACACAAACTGCTCTTTTTCAAGGATAGCTGTGCCAGGTCATATCAGCAGGTGCAAGTGGAGGAGTGGGGAATCAAACCCGGTTCTCCCAGATTAGAGTCCGCACACTTAACCACTACACCAAACTGGCTCTCCATGACTGACATACTAGATCTGAATCCAGAAAAAAAGGACCTGCATCATCAGATCCTTAGACTTCAGTTCTAATGCAATATACCGCTTCTCAAGGGCCTCTGCCATCCAAATGATTTGGTCCAAATAGGATTTCAGATAGTCTGTAGGCGATGCCAAGGGTCTGGAACCAATGGTGTCTTTGGGTGATGGGACCAATGCTGGTTCAGAATTGTGGTCGGACTCATTACTGACTTTGATCTTACATCCGGAGACATGGAATCCTGCATATTTTACTTGATCCCCTTTCGACGCCAATTGAATCCAGTCAGTAGACCTGGAGGAGTGCGACTCCACGTACCCGGGGGGGTAGCAATCCAAATGACCCCAGAGGTATACAGGAGCAGAAACAGCAGTGAGGATGATGGGCTCGGTGGTCTTTATGTAAATGCTTCGATCCTGCAGTCTCAATCAACTCAACGTTGGAGGACCACGGTGATTCCGGAGTCCTTAGACTCGAACATCCTCTGATGCCTATATGCTTTGAGGTGGAATCATGTCGTGGTGAGACTGACACTGAGCAAAGTCTCAGAGGTGAACAGCCTCGAGAAAAAGAACGTTGATCCAGCATGCTTCGGGAACACGAATGATGCCGACGCAACATCAATCCCTGATCTCTAGGTGAGGGTGTAAGATGGCTCTGGGGCAATCGGCGTCAGCAGTGAATGTGAGCCCTGCCATTTGCAGCTTTTATTTTTAGGGGCCTTTTTGAGCGTCTTCACTGGCGGCTCAGACTCCGCCCAGGCATTAGAGGCAGTCAGTTTTCCCAAAGGGCAGCCTTCAGACGAGCAGCGCAGCCTTCCCTCACCTTGGGAATCATCCTGCCACAGGCCAGGCAAGAGGTGGTAGTACGCCATTCTCTCAGGCAGAGTAGACACGAAGAATGGCCATCTTCTGAGCCATCTTGGCTCCACATTCTGAGCATTTCTTGAATAAAGCCATTTGTCTTCACAGCTAGGGAGAGAATCCTTACGGGAACTCACCTCAAGTCATCAAAAGCTCTCAACTCACATCCTCTTTTTGTGGCAGCAAAAAGAGAACTGAGGGGAGAGTGCTCACTCCTCCCATATCACATGACCTTTGGGGTGGGAAGCTCACAGTGCTGCAGGGAGGGAAGCACTCTTGGGATACCAGAAATTTCTTTAAAGAGCTCACTAGCTCCACCCAGTGGCAGGCCTGCAGAGGTGCAGTCCCATGTGTGCCTGCATAGAAACCACAAAAATGAAGAGTTGAGGAGGGACATGATTGCTCTCTTTAAGTATTTGAGAGGCTGTCAGTTAGAGGAGGGCAGAGAGCTTTTCCTGTTGACAGCAGAGGATAGGACTCACAATAATGAATTTAGATTATGAGCAGAAAGACACTGGCTGGATATTAGGGGGGGGGGAATTACAGTAAGAGTAGTTCAACAGTGGAATCAGCTGCTTAGGGGGGGTGAGCTCCCCCTCACTGGGAATCTTCAAGCAGATACTGGACAAACACTTGTCAGGGATGCTTTAGGCTGATCCTGCATTGAGCAGGGGGTGGAACTAGATGGCTTGTAAGGCTCCTTCTAACTTTTATGATTCTAAATTCATTCTAGATTAGAGTCTGTATGAGACTTAAGAGGCAAAAATCTCATAACCCTTATCTTCTGTAGATTCCAAGTATCAGCAGTCATAGCTTGAAGAGAACACCTTAGAGTGTTTTCAGGATGACAATTGTGGTCCTCTTCCCCCATAAATTTCAGTACAGGTCCCCTTCACATAAATGCATGCTAATGCGTACCATGGGTACTGTTTCCCCACATAGCAATGCTATGCTACTGTAGAATGTTGTTATGAACACTGAATCATATTGGCAGGTCCAATCACATGGCTTTTCTCACCTGCAGATTAGCTAGCTGGAAGGTAATGGGACAATAAGCTGAGAAAGAACATCCTCCTGGCCCACCCACATGATTCCTTTCTTCATGCATACACCCAAGCAACATTGGACTGCTTCCAGGCCACTAAGGTGATTATTAGCAGGGGCTAAAGGCTACCTCCTGTGGAGGCTTAAACGCTTAAAATATACACCCCTCCAGGTACATTTTTATACCACCTTTCTGACCAGTTCAGGGTTGCCAAGGCAGCAAACAATCCAAACATTTAAAAAAATTAAAATGCATACATCTCAAACAATAAAAACAATTCACCAAAACCTTAACATGTAGCCACAAGGAGGGTCAATAAGAGGGACTGAGGAGGGAACACCAAACAAAACAGAAAGGTTTTCACCCACTGGTGGAAGACAATGACAGAGGATTTCCAGGACATCCATCACAGGGAACCATCATTAGCTGTGAGGAATTTCCTAGGACACTGCTGGTAAACCCACCATCCAAAGATTAGTAAAGTGAACTCCACCGCAGCCCATATAGAATGATCAACATAAGACTCTCTTACCGACTGCAACTGAGGTTTTGATTGAACCTTGGAGTGTAACTTTCTTCTTGTTCATCATCTTCTTCCTCTGTTGGGAACCCATACTGTGGTTCAAAGTATGGATTATCATACTCTCGTTTTTTCACCACTCCATCCACAGTACTCAAACTGATTGCAGGACTCTCACTCTCACGACGATCTACACTGATCTTGGGAAAATTTGGTTGTAATGGCAAGTTGGAAAGGTGATTTGAAAATCCAGCTACCATCTTCTCCTCCATATCTACAGATTCAGCTGATTCCTGTAAAACAATTAATTTGTTTACAAATCAATATTTTTGTAACAGCTGATGAAGGGCTCACAACAAGAAGAAAAGTTGTATTTATACCCCACCCTTCACTCAGAGTGGCTTACCAACTCCTTCCCTAACATTTCAACATTTGTTCTGATTACTTCCAATGCCACCTCTGCTAAACAGAGCTCAGACATCTATAGTTACACTTTCAAAATCATTTTCCCAAACTTTCGTCCTTGCACCTCGAATTTCACAGAATACTTTATTCCCCTTATTAGTCCAGTTCAAAATCAGCTTTGTTAGCATTACAGACCCCAGAAAAGATCGTCCTTTTAACTGTTGTAGCAGATTCCTTTTATCTCCCTGTGACCTTCACTACTTAAGGAGCAGCCCATTGTCACATTTATTTTTTATTTTATTGGATTTCTATGCTGCTCTCCCCTGTGCCGCAGTGAACAACATGCCAGTCTTTTTCTAGCCCGAAGGTCTAATGATTGAGCTGTCTATAAAGTGTCTGTCTGATCATAGGCTGAGGAGCTGATAGCTCTTCATGACAGGAAAGCTTGTCTGAACAAACAATGCTATGAACAGACTTTACCTGTAATGAATGCCAAACTAGTTGGCAACCTTATTCACATCTCCCACCCAAAGGTCCATCACTTCAAACTTATAGCTCCTCCAGGACTTAACTCCTGGTATATGAGCTGGCTTGTACAATAGCCTCATTACACACATGATTCACCCCATGGATGACGGTGCTGGGGCTACTACTGGCTGTAGTGCTTGAACTTGAACGGGGCTGGTTGTTGTCTTGAGAATTCTCACTGTCTGGAGCTTGTTCATCCATATCACCAGAATATTCTTGGAAGTCATCAAATTCTACTTCACTTGCATCACCCAAAGCTGCATGAGTTAGTGGATCCACATCTGTAAATACAACACATTATTAGATAATATATTGCTTCACTCCTAGGTTATGATGTATAAATTTAGTAGATTTGTATGTAATTTGACAATAAAGGAGAGATGGTTTGTAAGTCTCCTTACTTGATGACAAACGCTACCGTTACAACTAGAAATCTCAAGAAAGCCAAAAATTAAGAACCAGATTCTCTTCTACAGAAATGGTTACAACTGAAGGATAGGATAACAAGTCAGATTCTCCTTGATACATGTGAAGATGTAAAAATGCATCTGAAGCCATGGGAGGAGGGAGAAGGGGGAAATCTAGGAAAAACTGAAACATGTACAATGCTTTTTTATATCAAAACTAAAATAGTTTAACCGCTTTAACAGAATCAAATTCATTATTTATAACATATTATATAAAACTGTACTATCTGGCATATTTATGAAATTTAAATGAATGCCTTAGTTGTCTACAAGTAAAACTGCAAATACACGCAATAATAGAGAGCAGCAAACTGCCTGTGCTACCTTAGCATATGTATCTTAGCTTTTGACTTCTGACAAAAAGTATGAAAATACACAAATTTTGGAGTAAAGAAAAACATGTTCTGTCTTTGGACAGTAAAATGTCTCATACAGACATCTTAATACGCCATCGCAAGCAACGAATTATAGAACTGAATAGCACCTTATGATTTTATGTTTTAACTTATAGTGAAATGATGTATATGGTTTTACTGGCAATTGGGCCACTGCTATAAGCCCCCCTGAGCGCGGGGAGGGGGGGTTATAAATTGAATTAATAAATAATATGGCTTGTAGCATACTTAGGTATTAAGCTAAACTTTGTACCAACTTTCCATTTTTTCCTGTTTTTTTCCTGATACTTCATAACTCTAGGTAGTGTTGGTTGCTAATGAGGCAGGAGAAAAAGTTTACATTTCACTGATACCTGGTCCTGGCTGGATAAAGCAGTAAATATTTTTGCTGGATGGTACGACCTATTACCATTAGAGCAAAATGCATGTGACAATATCCCATTCAATTTCAATAGCTTAAAGACATACATACTCGTATCAACTTGGTTACATATTTCTATTGTTATATGCTTCCTGTGTGTAACTCTGCCATGCGATAACTAAATAGTTTAAAGACAATCTCAATTAAACCAAGTTGAAACATACATGTAGAGCTAATGATATTGTTACTCACTTGGAGTATCACCATTTATGTCACATTTCATCATTTCACTAACAAAGTCACCAAGGGATGAGTATGAAGAGCTGGAATCATCATAGTCCACACTGTCGCTGCCACTATTGCAAAGAGGAGAGTATGAGGAAAGAATTAGAAGCAGTGGGAAAACAGTACAGTTACTACTTGCTCTGTTAGGGCTATCAACAGCTAGCACAAGTATTCTGACAGAATGAAGTTGAAGAAACTGGAAACCAAAGAATTCACTGAGAAGTAGGTTATAGCAGCAGAAAAGCTCCAGATTTACAAATGACATTAAGGACCAGCTACACAACACCATCCTCCACACTAACCTATCGTCAGTAGGATCAGAATCTGTTTCTCTCTCTACTGGGACACTCAGTGCTTCAGCTAGCTGAGAATTGCTGTCATAGACACGATAATGGATTGGCTGCAGTTGGTGAGCATACCACTTTGGCTTATCACCAATCAGAGCAGGGTCAAACATATCTGTAGAAAACATAAAAATAAGAAAGTTAAAGGAACTTTAAATTAAATGAACGTTAAATTAAACTGCCTTATACTGAACAGACCATTGGTCCATCAAGGTCAGTACTGTCTACTCAGATCGGCAGCAGCTCTCCAGGGTCTCAGACAGAGGTCTTTTACATCACCAACTGCCTAGTCCTTTTAACTGGAGATGCCAGAGATTTAATCTAGGATCTTCTACACACAAGCCTAAACTCTGCCTCTGAGCCACAGCCCCTCAGAAGCATTGATCAAAATGAGACCACAGTTTCACCAAAAAGGCAGATAAAACTTTAAGGAAAAACATTCAGAATTCACTGATACATTTTAGGGCAAGAGTCCCTAACCTTTTTGAGCCTGCAGGCACCTTTTGAATTTTGACACAGTGAGGTTGGTGCAGCTATAAAATGGCTGCCGCAGGAGGCGAAGCCAGCCACAAAACAGCTGCTGCAGCTTACCTTCAGTCACACAGCAATATTTTTAAAAATCTGCACAGTGAATCAAGTCTCCAATCAGAAGCCTTGCTGGGGAAAAGTCCCTGCCCATTTCCTGAAAATACCTGGCAGACACCAGGAAAGGTGTCGATGAGAGCCATGGTGCCAAAAGGCAACATGTTGGGGACAGTGTTCCCTCTAAGCTGAGTTAGTGTGAGCTAGCTCACAGTTCTTTAGCCTCCAGCTCACACATTTTTGTCTCAGCTCAGGAAGGAGGGCTCCAGAGCAAACTAATTTATGCCGTAGCCAAATTGCTGGTTCACAACTTTCATGCTAGTAGCTCACAAAATAGAATTTTTGCTCACAAGCCTCCGCAGCTTAGAGGGAACATTGGTTGGGGAACCCTGAGTTAGGGGCTTTCTAAAGAAACTTTATTGGAAAAAGAAGTCCTCTACAGAAAAAACAGATTTAGGAAGTGACTCGGCAGTTTATTAGAAGATAAAACACTAGTCATATGAAATGGAAGACACAAGATCTGGACTTACTATTGTGGATTCTTTGGAAAGCATAATTAGTTGGGTTGAGTGACCATTCTCCAAAGTATTCCACTGCCTGCGTCTTGGACAATTTATCTGCAAAGGGTGTCCGCTTTGGTCGTGAGGCCAAGAAGGAATTAGTCTGAAAAGCAACCACTGGCCGGGGGAAGAGACGAAGCGTGCGGGTATGCATCTGGAATCCTTGTAAAACATTTGGAGAATTGAAGAATCTCACCATGGCAACCCTAAAAAAAAAAGTGTAATATCTCCAGCACCAGTGAAGGACAGAGCATTTATATATTATGGAGGAAAAACCCTCAAAGGAAATCAGTCCAGTATATATAGTTCTGTCTCATTTTCTCTCACAAAATCCTGTAAAACAGCTGAGGCTAAGAGAGAGCGATTGGCATAAGTTATCTAATGAGCTTCATAGCACAGCCTCCCTGGTTCTAAAGTAACATTCTAATCACTACACCACACTGGCACCTCCAATATGGGAGATATTTTGTCAGTATACTATGAAACTGATTTCAGTCTTAAGCATATTTCATGGACATATGTTTCATGGGAAATCAAAGGAATTTTTGGGATCAAAGTGTTACTCTCCATGCTTTTTTTTAAAGGAAGAATAGTTTCAGCTTAAATTTCTATTCTAGTACAATCATCAGCTCTGAGGGAATCTGTTTTTTTACATCACTGCCCAAAGATTTCTACAAACACATTCATACAGAGAGTGATTTAGTCTTGCCTTCTATAATCATGCAACCTCAACTATAGACAGTCAGTGAACAGAAATGATCAAGCACAGAACCTCTCTATTTATATAGCTATAATTTCATAATAAGCAGTGTTACATTATTTCAAAATGAAAATAATATTTATCATTCATCAATGGACAGAATTTATTTGGAGGGCTGGCCCAAAGGTATTGCTCAGACTCACCTAGTGGCCACATCCACTGAATCTACATCATTGCCATAAATCAAGGGGTTGAATTCTGTAGAAGGTGTGGATTGCAGGTCATTCTGAGGTCTTCCCATAAGCAGTGGGATCTCCTGGCTTTCATGAAACTTCTCTAAGTTAAGAATGGGCTGGGTATTCAAACTCATGCTGGCCAAAGCCTAAAGAGCAACAGGTCACATGCATAATAAACAAGAATGACAATAAAACACTGCCTTGCTTCACGTGCCATCACAAGCCAAGTTCCAGATTCTAGTTCCCTGGAATCCACTGGCATCTTTTTCAGCTCTTACATGCAAACAAGAATCAACTTAGTATGCTCTTGGCCCTTGGTTTGATAGACTATTCCACCATTCCTCACATGTGGGTTAACTGGTCAAGGAAAAGGTACACAGATTACTGTGAATGTATTTTTCAAAAAAGAAATACGCAACCCAGGGGATATTCACCAGATTATTTAATGCAGATCAGAAACACCTCGGCATTCTTTGACTGCAGCCTTAGTATATTAAGTATATTTTTATTCTACTTTTCTCCCTGACAGGACCCAAAAGTGGCTCACAAAAAATACTATTTAAAACAAATTTATATAAACATGGTATAAAAACAGCAAGAGACAAAAAGTAGACCAAGCATCCTGGGTTCATGGCCACCAGGTTCTTTGTTCTGTATAAGGCTACAGGCTGATCCATGGGCTAAGAGCCGAGGGCCAAGAGCTCTTAGGTTGTTGACCTTTAGCTCACACCCGTGGCCACATTCAGGCTAAATTCCTGCAGTAGGACAGGCAGAAATACTCAGCCTAGATGTTTCAAGCCGGTAGCCATTTTCCTCAGTCCTGGCTCCTTCTGGGCACTTAGGTTCAAATTCAAAGAGTTCTGAAGCACACATGCGCTTTCCTATGTGTACAACAAACCTCTTCAAATTTCTCTCACTCTCAGTTGCCCATGCTTGAGTCTGAGGCTAACAACTGCAATAAGGTGCTTTGAAGCAAGGAGCCTCACAACCATAGTTGCACCTGTGGATCTTCTCACATGCTGCTGTGGACTGCGACCTGATGTCAGTCTTTTTTAAGTATAGTTCAAGATGCAGAACAACATAGGCATTATAAGACTGAGAGGTTACTCTCAGCAATGGATGAACAAGATATCCATTTCCATAACTGACACTGGAACCAATCTCCCTGTAATTCTGCTTTGCTAGATCATAGCACAGGTGTCCAGAGGTGGTACGCTGTATAAGGTCACAGCTGAAAAGAACTAGAGTCCAACAAAACTACTTATCTGCAGCAACTGCATGTAAGACCAGTTGCCCAGCCACCTTTTACAGGGTTGCTGTGTCCCCATTGGGCAGCCGGCTTGACCGTTTGGTCCTATCTCCCATATCCAGTGCTTTGAGAACTATCTTTCTAACAGTAGGATCCTAAATGGAGTTATACTGTTCTAAGCACACTGACTTCAGTGGGCTTAGAAAGGTACAACTCTGTTTAGCCTTGCACTGCAAGTGAAACAACAGGTGCAGGTCAGTGTGCTCTATCACAGCAGGGAGTCCAGATTCCTGGGGCAGGGCACTATTTCCAACAGTTATACCTCCATCAACTCTATCACCTTCAGCATCTCATAAAGCAGAGCTAGCATGTTCACAAACTTAACATCCCACATCCTGCAAATTTCTCCCCAATCATGTGCTAAAGGCCTAAAAGTCTAGCTTCCACATGTTACATACAATCTCACTGGTCTAATCACACCCTACCCTTACTCTTGTGTATACTTAACAGTTAAAGCCCTCCCCAAAACTTTTCCACAAGTCTTCCCTATCAACAGTCTCTCCCACAACTGTCTTCCTCTAAACTTCCCTCTGATTATTTCCAAAAGCCAATAAATAAAAACAGATTTAAAAAATAATCCAATGAAAACTTGAGAGGGGAAAAAGTAAAATAAAGACACCTTTTTGTCAGGCGTGAGCAGCTGTTGCTGAGTGATTGCAGTCATGCTAACCAGACACTGGAGGCAAGATGGAAGATCACATGACAACATCAGTGGATAGAGCCAAGACGAACACATGACCACAGAGAGACAGATGGAGAAAAAACGATTACTACTAAATACCACAGATGAGAAAGAAAACAAAAAGGGACCATAAATAGGCACAGTTCCTGAGGGAGACCAGACTGCTTTACCCCCACACATCTGTTCCCAGTCACTTTTTAACTTCAAAAAAGTAGCCAGCCACTTGTATGCAAGCAGATATTTCCAATGACTCATTAAAGCCTAAAGCTGTGACTATTCTGAATGCACAGTGAAAAGCCCATCAGAATTTTATGTAATTATTTATGTACCCATCCATAATAGTCTTTTCGAGATTTTACCACTGCTACCACCACCACCACTTCTGCCATCTTTCCCATTCCCCCTTTTCTCTCCAGAAAATAAGATTTCATGGTTTGCACTAAATGAACAAAAGAAAAAAAGAACCCATGTTGGTTAGTTCTGTTTCCAGTGCTCAAATGTGTGGGAGTTTTGCTGAATACCCCCTTAAACTGTGGAGAGAAAAGCAAACCAAGTCTGAAAGAGGAGCTGTAGATTCTACTGTAAGGTCAATGGCTGTTTACCGTAGATGTATACAAGAGGGAATTAATAGAGAGTTCAATGTACAGTTCTGCTTTTCTAAGAAGACAGAAACAGCAGTCATTGTGTGATTACTATAACACTTTACCTTTAAATACTGCATGCAGCATGCAAGGAGGAGGAGCAGGAAGAGAGAAGTAGAAAACAGAAATTGAAATATAAACCTAATTTTGACAGGCTCAGTCAACTGGACTCAAAAACAATAAAACTTAATATGACCACAGAGAGAGAAATGTGAACCTCATAGACAGCAATATGAAAATGGAAAAAGTGATGGTCAAAAAATGGAAAAAAAGTGATGGTCAACTGAAAATCCAAAAACTCTATGAGGATTGTAAAGAGAAAGAAGTTTGCACAGATATTTGGAATAAGGGTTAATTCAGATGACAATTTTGACCTGATAGCAACATATATTCTATGGTAACCAATACTGTCAGTGTTCTGACATGTTTTATATCAAGATCATGGCTTATCACATCTGAAACTATTTTATATGGGTTGGGAAACGTAATAGTAAACTACAATCCAACACCATTTGAAGTGCGCACTCAAAACTGGCTACTATGCAAAAAACAAAACAAAACCCAAACTAGCAAACCAGCAACTGACCGTAATTTCACTACTTCACAACCACACAAAATGGCCATATGAATGTCCCATATCAGACTCCAAACCGCAGTAAGAGATTAAATGCACTGCCTCCAAGTATAATTCAGAATGCTCATGGATGTTCTGTATTTACTAAGCATGTTCATAAATGTCCAGGGGACTTCCTTTCTACTCTAAATGTATAGATGGCGAGCACAGTAAATTACTCCAAAGTTATTAGCCCACAAAATTGTTTTAAGTTTGCCTGCTCACACATAGCTATACCATCTGGCTGTGATCCATGAGCTGCTTGAAAGAAATGAACAAGCCTTACACTTTTCTAAAAATCAAACAAACCTTGAAGGAATTGTTAATTCTCACAGCCAACCAGGCTAGTGACTAGTGATCCAATGTCCTCCTCAGATTTTTGCACTCTGTGAACTCCCGCAGTGTATATTAGGGATGGGCATGAACCAAACAACCAAGCAAAATTTGGGACACATTTTGCCCTGTTTGTGGTTCGGGAACCAAAGTCCATGACAAGTCTACCCCTGGGGCTCGCTGCCCAAGAAAGCCCCTTTAAACAGCTAAGAGAGGGGCCTTCTTTGGCAGCTAGCTCCCCAATTCACTGTGCCTCTCAGCAATTCACTCCATGCCTCTCAGCTGTTTGAAGGGGCTTTCTTTGGCAGCCAGCCCCAGGGCTCACTACCCAAGAAATCCCCTTTAAACAGCTGAGAGAGAGGCTTTCATTGGCTCACTGCCCAAGAAAGCCCCTTTGAACAGCTGAGAGGCATGGAGCAAACTGCTCCCCACAGACCAATTTGCTCCGTGCCTCACAGCTGTTTAAAGGGGCTTTCTTGGATTCAGCTCTGAGCCATTTAAGCCAAACAGCTCAGCGGCACTGCACTGCTCAGCTGTTTGGTTTAAATGGCTGGGAACTATTTAAACTCCTGCTTTCTGCTCCCCGTGGAGAGCAGCAAGGAGCAGAAATCTGGGGTCATGAACCCATACAAACTGATTTGTTTTGCAAACCAACCTTCTACTTCATGTAAGTCCATGGTTCAGCCACAAACCACGAACCAAACTGCAAAAATGCAGTTCGTTCCTATCCCTAATGTACATATATCCCAAGAACAATGCAAAAAGTATCTGAAAACTGTTAATGAACAATTAATTAATTGAATTAGTTTTATTTATTATTGTTTATTTAAAACTGCACTTTCACAAACCAAGCTGAAGGAAAATAAATGAACAATTAAAAATTGGCATAGAAAAAACAAAGACTTTGTGCTTTGGGACAGTAACATGACATTTTGGAGACAAGAAGAACTTCTAGCTTCTGTCAGTTAAGAAAAACATCTCAGAACTAAGTAGAGGACATTTCACATCTTTATCCTCCTAATACTTTCATTGGTCACCAAATCTTATGTATATTTGACATAATCTTCTCTTTTAAACTTGGACACATGTTATCTGACAAAAAATGCATATGAATGTTTTAAACAAATAAAATCAATAGGAGATGCAATTAAAGAAGGAAATAGTATGTATACATTCCATAAAAGGAAATTATATCTAAACTTTTCCAAAATATCAGGAGTTCAGAGTCTGCATCAAAACATATCTGCATGTTCACACCAGGTTTTCCTGTCCATCTTCAACTATGGTTTCTTGTGCTTCATCAAAGACTGTTCCAAAGTGGCCTTTTGGGGAAATTATTATTCATGCAGGGCTACAATCTATGGTAGGTTGGGGGATTAAGAAAACCCCTTGGGTGCCAGATATGCTCTACTAAACTCTTCAAGTCTATGCTATCATTTACAGTTACCTGCTGAATATAATGACAGAATTCAAAATCATGCAACAAGAGGAAGCCTTCATGCTGGAGACAGTGGCAGAATAGAATAATGTGAATTTATCAATAGTCTGAAATAAGTTAACCATGCTTCTTAGATTACTGAGATGACCTCTCCACAGATATTGATACAATCATATCTGTGTCTTCCATTAACTAATAAATTAGTTCTAAAACACCTCTCTGCAACACCTACCAAAATACTCACTCACCTGCTTCAAGTGTTTTTTTAGTTCTGAAGCTTCTGGCTCTGGTAAAACAGGCAATGATTCTGCATTTGTAGGTGCAATCACCTGAAATTGAATTTTTTAAAATAAAACTGCCTTGTTTCGTGGAAGCAAGCTAGAATTACAGCAGGAGGTACAGCAAGCGACTTACTTTGTCTAATTTTCTTTCCTATTGCTTACAGATTATTAGATAGGCTCTAAACTGAATGCAGAAGGTGATTTTAGGAACACTCAGGTCTACTTAGATCCATTTAATTCGAAGGGCCTTACTCCCAGGAAAGTATTCTTAGGATTGCAGCCTTGGTTTTCCAATGTGTCATCCATTTATCACAATGTGACCTAATGAACTCATATCTAATTCTAATTATTTTTGGAAAAACATTACTCCATCAGAAAGCAGTGGGAGGGAGATGAAGGTTCCTTCTATTAGCCTGCTTATCACCTGCCCCCTCCCCTCTCAGACTCCATCAGGGGCCAGTCATTCTACAAAAGGGGAGAGAGTGAGCGAGCACGAATGCAAGGCCTTTCCCCTCTGAGGCAGAAGACATCTTATGGGTGTTTCCCACATTCCTATCAGGGAGGCAGGAACTAAATTCTTCCTCTTCCTGTAACTTAGCACAGTCTTCTAAATATGAGTAACCTACCTTATTGGTGTCCAGATCAACAAGCCACACATCATCAGGGATTTTAAAATCTAGTTTGTAAAGGAAGAAGCTGGCTGCGACTCCAATTATATAAGGTGTTGGGGCCAGAAGTAGCTGTAGTGGGTAGAAAATATTAACAGAATTGAAATCCTTATAGTATTTTGCCTGAAAATATAATCACTGAAATCTGACCACTGAACTGAAGAGAGAATGATAGTTGGAGCACAATCAAGTTGTCATTAGAAATCACCATGTTTGGAGCTCAGTGAATGATCTGGGAACAAAGATGCTGAAGCACCATCAAAGACAGGCAGACAGTAACCCTGATCTGCAATCTGGATAGGAGACCACTTTGTACGTATAAGAATAAGATACTTAAATTCTTTACAAAATATGTATTTTATTTAAAAAATCACATTCTGAGATCAGTGGAAACAGCTGACAAAAATCGAAGAGTACTGAGTATTTTCATAAATAGAAAAGTATCAAAGGATACTGGTTGCTTTTAGTCAAAGGTTTCACTATAAACAGGAAGAACCCCATTTTAAGGCACTGGAGAATACAGGTGTTCATGACTAGTGTATAATGAGCCCCTCAGCACTTATCAGGCACAGAGAAAACATGTATCTCAGTTTTGATAATCAGGTAATGAAGGGAAGAATGCAAATGTTTCCTTAAGAGAAGGTTTAAGCAGAATCAAAGTAATACACTTTCTCTGACATACTGGCATACCTGCTCTGCAGAAGCCATGCATGTGGGAAGAAGTGGAATCACTGGGAACATGTACTCCAGTGGGTAAATCATAGACACAAATGCCATCACAGACATGGAGAGTGCATTATAGTCCCGGGACTGTAGCACTACCTGCAACCAAGAAAACCATATTAGTGTAGTGGGAGCATCTAACCACTAACATGCAGTATTTTCATGCTCTGACTTCATATGACCTACATTCCAATGCTATTAGAACATTCCCTAATATTATTTCAAACAAATATACATTTTCTCACAGAAGCTTCAGGACCCTTATTACTTGTGAGCTGCAGCAGACACACTTTAAGTTCTCTCACAATCATCTTTGCTAAGCTTCTGCTGAAATGATTTAGAATGGACAATGTCATTCCAAAAGTCTGCTGCACAAGTGTCTGTGGATTGACTGATTCAGTTCCCTTCTCACCTTGTGTTCTAACAGAATGCAGGACAGCACCTGCAAACAAGCATCCACCCCTAACAGCTCCAGGGGCAGATGCAATGGGAAATCCACCAGGGAGAAACGGGATGGGTCAGGGAGGGCAAAAGTCAAGGCAGGCTGCAATTCATGTGGTAAGACTTCCACATCCACACGCTTCTGGCCAGCAACAGGCACAGGAGAGCGAAGCAGTCTGTAAATCCAGGCTTCAATTTCACGCAAATCATGTAGCAATGCACTGGATTTCTCCTCCACTAGAAGAGAGCCTGTGAAAATCCGCCACATAGTATCCCTGTACAAAAGCAACAAGATTAATTCAATGTACTGAGAATCTTTCATAAATAGTCAAGTTATTGGAATCCTCACATAAGAGATCAGACTAGACTTCATACACCTAAAATGATGCCTGATGGATTGCTCTGGTTTTACTACTTTGATTAGGAGAAGGGTGGGATAGCAGGGATTTAATATCATCTCCTAAAGTAATGGGAGCAAAATTCTCTTGCAACAGAATTTAGCACAATTCTTAAAATGCATGGATCAAACTTAAGGCATTGACCATGAACAGAAAAAGCAACTTTTGGGCAAGAAAGGAAAACAAGCATTTGGATAGCACTTAGAAGTACCACTGGTCCTACAGATCAGCAAACACAAAGCAAGACAATTTGTTTTATTACACTGTACCCTAAAAGTTCTGCGCTCTTGTTAGCTTTTAACATTTCATAAGATGTTGAAAAAACTGCTTTTAATCATATTTAATCTCTCCTTTTCTCCTGGCACTGCCTTTTATAATACATCTCCTAGAAGTCACTTGTAGAAGATGTATTTTTAAAAATATTCATTTGAAAAATACAGTACACATGTTTGGATAACATTTGAGACAGCAGTGGAACCACCACCCCCCCACACACACACACAGAGTTTATACATTATTTTTGCCACGTATGAAGTGGTAAAGAACATCATTTTAAAGTTAACAGCAAATCATGTGAATTATCATATGATGTTTGGTTTGATGTAAAAGGGTGGACAAAGGGAACCTTTGTCTGGGGTCTCATGGTAGTAAGACTTCACCCTCCACATGCTTCCAGAAATTCTTTCTGGCCTTGGCAGTCTTGTGAAAATATCTTTGTGCTTTCATGTCACTAGAAGAAACCAAATTACCCAAACAAATCAGGTGCTGAGAACTCAAGAGACAATATGTCCTATGAGACTACATGGAACCAATGTCCAGGCACTGTTGCACAACAAAGTTAAGTCCAAGTGGATAATCCTCAACGATATTTAAAGGGTAGTATTTTGACTATCAAACCATTTGTCTACAGAGATGTGTTCACTGGCTAGCAACATTACTAGGGCACTTTATGGTACGTTTAGAAGATTTGGCAGGTTTATTCTCAGCCCCCCTTCCTCTCCCTTGCCTCTTCATAGATAGAGCAGAGACTGAAGATTTAATAGATTGAAAGAAACTGCAGCTTGCTATGATGCCCATTTGGCGGTGTGCTCTGGCCAGCTGAGGTCTGTGGCTTTTTTCCCTACATACATCTCCAAATTTCTCAATACAAACTGCAATTCTTATTTCATTATATATCTGTGCTTAGAATCAGAGAAGAGGCCACCAGAACCTGTCAAGCTAGAACAAAGTAACTGAAATAAGATGGAATGTTAACTTCAGAACTACAAATTGGCTAGTACAAAGCCACCAGGTTACCTACAGACATTACAGGCTGAGAGGAAAGCTTAAGAACCACTAGCTACAGACCACAGGTCCACTTTAGAGTATAAAGAAGGCCACTGATGATCCCCTTTTCACCTAAAAAAACACAACATCTCCAAGCTCAGCTAAAAAAAAGCAGAACCACACAGGAGGCTTGTCTTGCATTGGTGCATACTTTGGCATACTACTGAAAGCATAGAAAACTGTATTACTAGATACAGGGACAGCATGGTGCAGGTGTTTTTGCACCTGCAGTGACAACACCATGCCCAAACTATGTGGCCACTTCTCAACCTACACTTTTCCATCATGTCTTCTAAACAAGCAGTGAAATCAGGGAGATTCTGTGCCTACCCTTCTCCTTTAAAAGGCAAACCTCACACCCCAGTGGGTGAAATGACATTTCTAAACATGGGATTTGAAGAAAGCTCTCCATCCCCTCAAGTACCTCTGCACTCCTCGAGGGATGCCCAGCTTCTTTCCCAAGAGTCTCTCACTGCAATAGTCTACCAGCCTCTTCAAGGTATATAGACATTCACGGAAGGTAGAGAAAAAAGGATAGTGACTAAGTATGCAAAGTGAGGTTAGGGTGCTGTTACGAGAACGGTGAGTGCCTTTTGCTGGATGTTTACTCCGAGGCGACCGATTGACATCTGGGGTGGACTCTGTGCTTGGTGGCTGCAGAGAACCACCACTCTCTGAACTCTCATTAGCCATCTCTTCTTGGGCAGTGGAAGTATCTCCAGACTTGGGGGCTTTCTGCCCATCTCGAATACGATGTCCTCCACTGCTTTCCCCCTTCTCCTTGGGCACACGCTTCTGGAAGGAGCGGTAGAAGTTGACACATATCCCATAGCGAATGACACCTTTATCTTTGTCTGTGAGCGTGAAAACAAATGAAGTATCATCTCGCAGGCTCATGCGCTTCTGCCTCACACTCAAACATCCCTCTGGCTGGCAAAAGAACACTACATCAGGAGGAAGAGGAAAATCAGTGTGATCTTCTAGAGGATAACGGCGTAGTAGTTCAGGTGTCTGTGCCACACTATCACTGCTTGGTTGCCTACAAGGAAAGAAAATGTAAAATGGTTTTAGTACAGAAACTCATTAGTTATACTTTTGTATGGCAAAAAATCCACAGGAATCTGCTGTAACTAGACCACAAGGCAGTACTCTATCCAGCAGTAAGATAGTAAGGGAGATGAGGAATGAAATCCTAACCAGGAGCGAGAGAGCAATCTATGGACTTATAAAACTCAAACAATGGTCCATGCACCCAGTGATATCATCCTGATAAAAAGAAATGTGTGAAGACAGGTGATAACTGCTTGTACATAAGGGAGAGGCATATAAAAGGGAGGAAGTTGGCATCAGGAAGCAAAGACAGTGGGAGACTGCTTTGTTCACGTAAGAGGGCGAGCATTTGAGAGGTGCTAACGGATGTGGTTCCCTATTGGATTCCTCCACTCTAATATGGCAGAGACTAAAATTAGTATCTTCATATTATATACTGGGCTAGGAGAGAGGGGGAGAAGAGCAACTGAGACCCAAGAGAGCATCATATGCAAGATCACCCAATGAGTTTGTGGTTGGTCAAGATCTCATGTTTCAGATGTCTCCAACTGATGCCTAGATACAGGCTGCTCTCTCTTTTGATTGCCATTTAGTGACCATTTCCTTCTCCCAAACCTTCTAACTGGCCAGTCTCATCTAAAACACATCCTCAAACAGATTTATCCCGGGTAAATCACATCTGGATTGTTGTTAAATTACCTGGCTCCAATTATCACAAGATAATCCAGTAACCGAGGACAGCTTTTCTTTTTCTGCACCATTGTCTTCCCTCCTTTTCTAGGTCATCTCAATGAATTCCTTTTTCATTGGCTCAACCAGCTTCCAGTGAGTGCTTCAGAGCTAAAAAATGCTCATGGAAATTGTGACATCAGTCTACAACCAAGAGAAATTTGTGTCAGATTTACATTCATATACAACACTTTAATCACACACAGCAGTGATTCATAAAACAGCCTGATCCCACAAAGCATCCATACTTTTTATCCTAGACTGAAGTATGATTATAACAAGAAAGTGAACTGGAATGGAATAAATCTAAAGCAAAAGTTGATTTCCACAAAACATAATCACCTTTAGAAGACTATAGGAGACAAATCCCCACCATAGTAGTGATCTGAAAAAAGACCTGGCACCTCAGTAACCAGGTCAGCTGTGTATACGCCACTCAGGTAGACATATGGGTTTCTACAAACAGCACACAAACCCTGCTCAGGCATTAGACTTCAGACTTAGAATTAACTTCTGGAATTCACTGCTACTGGATAAGGTCATGGTCCACTAGTTTAAATGACTTTGAGAAAGGATTAAACAAATAACTGGAGCCAGTTAAACAGTATTAACGTCCACTAGCCATGACGCTGATACATTCTGTATTTAGAAGCAGCGTACTAGTGAAAACTGGTTGTTGGAAACAAGCAATGCTGGAAACAGAGTATAAGACCAGATGGATACTCGTCTGAACCAGCAGGACAATTCTTAAATGCATACTGATTAAACTTACCCTAGATAGATGTTGGGCTATTAAGGAAAGCACATGAGGCTTATTTTGTTACACGCCAACCTCTTACTCTGTGAGCATATTTTCTCTTGTAATGCATCTCAAAAACAGTGACAATATGTTGATTGTATTGTTATTAGGCAACATTAGTGCTGGGGCCAATGACCTGACAACAAACATGGCTTCCTAAATTAAACATGGCCCAGGAACCAGCTAGGCTGATCTGGCCACCTGGGTCCACACTATAGTAACACTGAGACTAGACTACTGTGATGCACTGTACTCTACTCAAAGACAATTCAGAGACTCCAGTTAGTGCATAAGAGAACGTCTATGGGAGAAACTTAAGTTGATGGGAATGGAACTGAGGCTTTTACATTTAATAATGAAGCTTCATCATAATACAACCTGCCAAGTTAGACTTAACAACGTTGGTGACCTGACAAAATTCCAATTAATATAGGAGTCAAATAGGATTGCCTTTTAGCGCCCTTTCTATTCAACCTATTTATAAATGATTTGGCACCCACCTTAGATCTGATCAATGGTCACAGTCCTAAATTTGGCTCGATCCCCACCCCTTTACTCCTTTATGCTAATGACGAAGTGCTATTGTCTCTAACCCGTATATGGTTGAAATGCCTTTTGAAGAGCTTTGTAGACTATTGTGAAAAGAATAGGCTAGTTCTGAATTTTGAAAAATCCAAAATTATGATCTTCAGTAAGAGTTGGAAGCCATCCAGATGGAATATTGGAGGTCATTTCATTGAACAAGTCAAAAGCTTTAAGTATTTGGGTATCCACTTTTAATATAACACCAGATGGGTCTATCATAAAGAGAGAGCAATTGAGGCAGCAAACAACATTTCTGTGGCAATTACACGTTTCCATTATACCAGGGGTAACCAGTACATGCCGGAAGCCCTTAAAGTTTTTAATGCCAAATTAGCTGCTCAATTACTCTATGGAATACCAATCTGGATTGAAGGCTTAAATGGGGACTTGGAAAGAATTCAGTCCAGACCTATGTGAGACCCAGGTTCAGATCCCCATCTTGCGGTGGAAGCTGACTGGGTTATTTTGGACCAGTCACATACATTCAGCCTAGCCCACCTCACAGGGTTGTTGTGCAGATAAAAAGGAGGAGAGAATAATGTAAGCTGCTTTGGTTCCCACTGTGGAGAA